TATATTATAATTATTTACTTTTATTAGTTTATTTTAAAATATAGTTATTATATTATTTATTCTAAAGGAAATTATAATAGTAAAAGTCTTTTAAAGTTATATATATTTAAATTAATAGTTTTAACTCTATTAATATTATTTATTATTTTATTCTTATATTTTTAAATTTAAGGAAATAATTACCTTTTAGAAAGCTTTTATAAAGTTAATCTTTAAGAGTATCTTTTAAATTATAGTCTTTTAAGTATTATTATCTATTTTTATATATTATAGAAAGTAGGTTTAATTATATAATATTTATTTTTATTTATTTAATTATTTAAAAGGTTTTTAAATTATAGTTTTATTAATAATTATAATATATTTAAGGTTAGTTTTACTATATATTTTACTATATTTAAATATATACTTTATTTTTATAAAATAATTTTATTAATTTTTAAATACCTTTATATTATAATTTTAAAGTTATTAATAAACTTTAAAAATAAATTATAATTAAAGTATTTTATTATAATATATTAATATAAATAGTATATTATAAAAATATTTAACTAATTAATATTAAAATTAAAGTTATTAATAATTATATTAATATTAATTAATTAATTAAATTATAATAAAGTTAAAAACTAAATTTTAATTATTTTAATAATTTAATTAAGTTTATTTTATAATTAAGTTTTAATATTTAAAAGATTTACTATTTTAAATATATTTTATATTCTATAAAAGTATTAAAAGTATAGAAATAAAAGTAATAAAAATAAAATATTAAAAGGAAAATAGAAAGAAAAATATATATTTATTAGAATTAAAGTTTTAAATAATAAAGAAATAATATCTAAATAAATAAATTACTTTCTTTTATATATATATTATAATACTTTTAAAATTAATAAATTAATTTTATTAATTACTTAAAGGTTTTACCTATCTTTAAGTAATTAATTAAATAAATTAATTAAATAAATTAATTAAATAAATTAGTTTTATTAAATATTTAAAGATTTCTATTTTAATAGAAATATTTATTTAAAGGTATTTAATTAATATATTTTAAAATTAATATATAATATATAATTAATAAAAGTAAGTTTAATATATTAAATCTTTATAATAAATTATTAATATTTTTCTTTTTTATTAATTTATAATTATTATTAATTATTAATTAATATTAAAAGAGTTTTACTTTATATAAAGTTTTATAATATTAATATAAGTAGATAAGTAATAATAATAGTTAGATTTCTAAAAACTAAGAATACTTTAAAAGAAGTACTTTAAATACTTAATATATAGCTAATAAAGCTATATACTAATAAATATAAATAAATAATACTTTAAGCTTAAATACTTTTAAATTTATAAAATTTTAATAAAGAAAATTAAAAGAGTTTTAAGTATAAATTAAAATAAATATTAATATTTAATATTCTATTTAATTTTATAAATTATATATTATTAAAAGAATAATAATATTTATATATATTAAAAAAGTTAAAATATTAAATTAAAGTTAATTAATATTAAAGTATTAAATTATATATAAAAGTATATAAAATAATATATATAAAGAGTATATTTAACTTTTATTTATTAACTAAAAGTAGTATTTAACTTTTATAATAATATAGTTATAAAAATTATTTAAAAAACTATATTAAATTAAATAAATATTTATAATAATAAATTAATAACTTAAATTATAAATTTTAATTTATATTAATAAATATTATTAAAACTAAACTTATAATTTTATAAATAAATTATTTATTAATAATATAAATCTTAACTTATAAATTAATTTTATAATTATTTTTTATTAAAAGGTTTAATTAAAATAATATTTATTAAAATATAATAAATAATATTATTTATTAATTCTTTATTAAATATAAAAGTTACTTAAAATATATTAATATTTAAAGTTTATAATATAGTTAATAACTTTAATATAAATATTATACTTTTATTATATTTAAAAGTTATTAATTATTTAAAACTATTATAAGTCTTTATAATTATTTATATAAATTTATTCTTTTTTATAAATATTTTATTAAACTTAAAATAATTAAAAAAGTAATTAATAATTAATATAATAATACTTTATTAATTATATAAATATAAAAATAATAAAATCTATTAAATTAATAATAAAATAATTTAATAAATATAATAATAAAAATAATATTAAATAAAATATTAAAAATTTATTTTAATAATAAATTATAATTTTAAATATAAAGTTATATTAATTAAAAGATATTAAATTTTATTAAACTTTAAATATTAATAATACTTAATATATTAAAGTATTTATTTTAATAAAATTAAAAGTAATTAAAATTTATAAATAAAATATTAAAAATAATTAAACTTATAAGTTAAAAATAAAAATAATAATTAAAAAATTAATAAAAAATAAAAATATAAAGTTATAATAAAATAAATTAATAAAAGTTTAAATTTATATTTTATAAGTTATTTATATTTAATAATTTATAAATTATATAATAAATTTATAATTAACTTTAAATTCTTTTAAAAATAAATTTTATAATTAATATTTAAACTAATAATTTATATTAATAAAGTTAAAAATATATATATTATTTATTATTATATAAATATTTAAGTTATTAGTTTATATTTTATAAGTATTTTTAATTAAGTTTTATAATTATAATATTTATAATAATAAAAAAGTTAATTTAATTTAAAGTTATTAAATTATTAAATTATTATATATTAAAGTTTCTTAAATTCTAATTTATTTACTTATTTTATAAATAATAAAAGTTAAACTTATATATATATTTAAAAATAAAAACTTAAATATTTAAATTAATATTTTTAATTAATAATCTTATTAAAATTAAAGATTTTATATAAAACAATTAATATAATTTTTAAACTATTAAATAAATAAATTATTTTAAAATATATAAATTAAATACTTTTAATAATAACTTTAACTTTTAAAGTATACTTTTATTTAATAATATTTTAATAAAAAAATTACTTTATTATTATATATTAAAAGATAAAAATTTAAGTTTAATTTAATTTAAAAAACTTAAAGAAAATTAGATTTTTAAAATAATTATCTAACTATTTAATAAAAGACTATTAATATAAGAATAAAGGTAATTATAATTAGTAGATAGTTTAGGTTATATAACTCTAATTAATAAACTATAATAAGGGACTTATTACTAGCCCTTTAGGCCTAGTTTCCTCCCTTCTATACAATCCAACTCAACCAACCAAACCACTCTTTACGTATGTATACATGATAACCCGTACCAACAGTCACTGACCGTCTAAGAACTTCCGTAATAAATCCATTTGTAACAGAAGCCTCGCCTTTCTAACCCTCGAATCTGCCTTCTCCTAAAGTCTCTTCTCCATTCCAAGATCACTAAGTGCCCCTCTTATTCTGCTGTAGCTGGTTCCATTGCCGACCATGTATCCTAGGAGCCGGCAGAGATATTCCAATATGATTCCCAAATTTTTCCGCCTGTCGCCGGACATTTGTCCATGCGTCCTCAACCCTCTCCCTTGCTTGTTTCATAGCCTCTTCAGGGGAGCTCGATCTGGCCTCCAGGAACAGGGTGGCAACGCCGAGGACGATAGCCACCACCACTCCGACCACGGCCACGATCAAGTTGACTAGGGCGAGAATAATGCCTAGGAATCCAATGGGGTTTTTGTCGGCCATGGCTTCGAGGTCGATGGCCCGTGCCTTGCGCCACAGCCTGGCGACGATCCAGCCACCGTTCGAGATTGTTTGCGTCGAATCTGAGCGGGTGGTTACTGATGGAGTCGATAGCAGCGGAGAGGAAGATGGTGGCGCATCATGCGCACCCGCATCTCTGTCAGTCGTTGCTGTGGTGCTGTTCTGTCCTGTGCGTCGGACATGATTCGATGCCCGGTCGAGCCGGTTGAGGTTGGCCTCTCGTAGCTGTCGGAGTTCTACAGCATCCACTGTGCGGTCACCTTGTGCCGACACAAGTGATCTGAAAAGTCCTAAAGGGTTCACAGCAGAAGCCGGACGGCGAGCTGTCTGGCTGGGAGCCGAGCCGTCAGCGGCCAACTGCGATACTATGCGTCTTGCGTTCTCCAAGGGGGAGGCCATGATTCAATGCAGATGTGCGACGAGCTAAATGCCTATCGAAGATTCATGTACCTATAAGGCGGTTGTTCCATGAGGGGAGGGAACGTGTTTTTGGCAAGAAGATCAATCTAATGCAGGACTTTTCCAACCCCAGTTCTCAGAAGTCGGCTGCCTCCTGTTTGCCTTATGAAAGCAAGGGAGCGCACCCGCCATGACCATGAGGCGCATTTGTGTCACCCAAACCACAAAGTAGGGATGCTCTGCCTTGAAATGCTGTTCCTTCCAAACTCCTGCCCTGGTCCCACCCTTTCCCTAGAAAAACAGCGATGGGGCAGGTTTTGACACATGCCAAATAGCCTCTCTAAAAATAGAGCCATGGAGCTGACCCAATGAATTTCAATTACTCATAGTCCAGCTAATTTTCCTAGTGCTAGTGTTCTCTCTACAGAACATCTTGAAGTACAGCACAAGACCAAACGATATATTGGGGGGGCACTGTATGAAGGCGTCATGTATGTTCTCGGACGTTTGCGGAATAGAAGCGAAACCAGCTTGACAGAAGGCCGCCTAGGCTTGACCCCATCTCAGGTATCAGAGCAGGACCAGGTACAATCCCTTGCACAATGCACATGTGAATCTAGTTGTAACTATCGTTCATTCTAATTATGAAAGTGGATTCCCACTTGATGTATCATGCGTGGGCAAACCTCTGACATGTAGATAGCAAGGCAGTTATACCTACCGTGACAAGGTTCACGGGCTAGTAACCTTGGAAGTTCCAAGGTTCTTAACGCCTCGCCCGATTGTGAATGCTTGATATCAATACTTGATCAGCACCCAGAAAGCTGTCTCCACGCATGTGCAAGGTACGACTCTACCATCTGAGCTCAATGACAAGGGATGCCTCATCCGGGACGGTCACATCTGCTGACTGGTCTGAGATGATGTCAAGAAACTTGTCCAGGAGGTCCAGGTCACCACTATGCTCTGCGCCTGGTACTTCATCGATGTCACTACCCCGCAGAACATCCAGTAGCCCCATCTTAGACATGATTATGCTCAGTTCCAGCTCCTCACCAACCACGCTGCCTGAGCTCTGCTGACGATAATTAAGAACGCCATTGCTGATAGTCAGCCTCCAGGCCTCCTTGGTGTCTGTAACCACAATTTCGATCACGAAATGAGAGTCACCTGCCTTTTGGCCGTCTACCTGGACTGACAGAATCTCAAACCACTGCCCCACGGTCAAGGTCTCGCCTAGGGGGCTTCGGCCAAGCTCGCTCTCCCCAGGCCTCGTACTTGTCCGCAAGCCTTGGGCCTCCGTCAAATAGAAGTTGCGCCAAGGGCCATTTTCCGAGATGTAAGCGAGATTCTGGTAGGCTCCTGCGAGGAGTGACCTCGATCTCTGGTGGTCTGGAAATGCAGATACTGCATGGCTCAGCAGAGTTGCCGCAAAACGGAAATCCTGCTTCGCTATGTATCCCTCGGCTTTATCGCAGAGCGAAGAAAGCCCACCAATGCACTCGACGTATCGAATCCCTTCAGCGGCAGGAGTATGTTTCCATTAGCTTGCAGGGTTTCCATCAAACCATGTCATGTACCTCTGATAGATGCCCTTGACGTTCAAATGTTGTGGCTGAGGCTTCCATAGAAACCCTGGCAGTGCCACGAGTTCTCCAGGCTCGACGGCAGCCTCAGCTGCTCGGCGATCTCCGTGCCGGTCAGGCCCAGGTTCATCAGCCTCACAGTCTGGTCGTGCAGATAACGGTACAAATCACGCTGCTCAGCCAGCCTAGCCACAAGGTCCAGCTGGCCCCATGTCGGCCAGTGATGGCTCCCAAGCAGCACGTCCGAGTCTTGCCCGTAAAGAACGATAGCTTCGTCCAGCGAATTTGACCACGCCTTGGCATCGCGGACCTGGGCTCCGCGGAGAGTGGTGATGTTATGCATCGAAACTGTCGCCGTCTCCGCGATGAGGAGGGCCCTGAGGTTGGGGAAATGCACGTTCACCTCGGCCGGGGCTTCTGTTCCGGATACCACGTGGAAGACCATCCGTACGCCGTTGATGATGATCTCGTCGCCGGTCTTCCGGATGATCTCGTCGGCGGGACGAGCGAGCGTGTCCTCATGCTGCTCGCTATGCCGAGCCCGTTACCAACGTGGCCGTCCGCCCCTTTCTCCAGAGCCATGCCGTACATATAGACTGAGCGCTTGTGCATTGACGGCCCGGCCACGAGATTCTCGCTCATCACTGCCTCCATGAATCCCTCTGGGGCTGTTATTGGCACATCAGCCGTGTTGTGTTTCTCTCTGGTGCTCTCCAGGATACCGCCTGCACCGCCGAAGTGATCGGTGTGAGAGTGAGTGTATACCAGCCCCATCACCTTTCTCTTTCGCTCTGGATCGCGATAACTCCTGTACAGCTCAAGCCCCGCTGTAGCAGGCTCGCAAGAGACCAATGGGTCTATCACAATGATACCATTCTCCCCCTCCTCAATGGTCATGTTGGAGATGTCCAGGGACCGGAGCTGGCAAATGCCAGGAACGACCTCGAACAGCCCTTGTTTGACGGTCAGCTGGCCCTGCCGCCATAGCTTCTCGTTGACCGTGGGCGGGCATGCCGTGTCGGAGCCTAGGAATTTGTAGCTGTTAATGACCCAAACGGTCTTGCCGGCGGCGTCCTTGATGACGCCGGGGACTAATGGTGCGATATGCCCCCGATTCGCGTTAGTAAGCTCGCGCTGGAAGGACTGTTGCAGCTTGGCTGGCATTTTTCTTATCGCTTCTCTTCGCTTGTGAGGTTTATCGCGCCGTGCACATGTGCAGGTTGTATTCCGGCTCGCGGTAACCTTTCCCATCGCAGTGGATACCGGCCTCGGGAATTTGCGTGGACACGACTTCACAAACATGGTAAAAGCAATTGGATTATGTGTATCGCTTCAGAGAGATTATGTGGTCGTATGAACTTTACATTGACCATCGTCATGGCTGTACTATGAAATTGTAACATTCAATAACTAACGACTAGAGAGCCTTTTATTAAAACACAAGAGACTCGGATACGTGTAGTTTCTGCCTTGTCTTTGGCTATAGAAACTGTCAAAGATACTGCAGGAGAACTAGCTTCGCGGATGTCCGCTGGACAGCATCTATAAACCTCTGATGTTCTCTAACATTTGAAGATCTTCTGCTTGGCCTCCCGCTACCGTGCTGTCTCCTTCCAAGGTTATCTTGGCAATGGTCTCCTGCGAGTTCCACAAGGTTCCAGGTTATCATGTCTTGATGCCGCACTGCTGCAGGGTGTTGCAAGGTGCTTGGGCACCTTTAAGCGGATCTTGCGAACTCTCTCTGTGCACATATCGGCCATGGTCGGAGCTCCCTCCTCTTCATTTTTAACAGATTGAGTAGCTTCCATGGACAAGTGTACCGGGTGCTGCGGCTGCATGTCTGACGACGTGCAGTCCTAAACACCGTTGTCAGCACCTAGACTCATCACGTTCATCCTTCTACTCACCTGTTGGTGCTCCATCTGGTGTTCGGAACTTGACTCTGATTGACGACGCTCTGAGGCTCTGAGCTTGTTGACAATGTCGACATTTTCATCCAGACGTTTGTTCCCAGAGCCCAAAGCCCGGGCGTTGGCTGTTTTTACTCTCTTGGGCTTTCTTTGCCGGCATTCTGTCGAGATAAGTGCTTTGTGGCATTGATTAATAAGTGGTCATTTCGTTATTAGATGAGAGTGAAAGAAGGGTGATGACTCCTGGGTCTGAGCAGCAGATACTCACCTGGGCAACAATTATTTCTCGATTTACTGCCGGTGGGTCTTCATCGACTTCTTGAGGCTCAGCAGAACCCAATTCGAAATCCCTCCCAGGCCCCATTGAATGATGTTCAACCCCATCAGTCATGCCGGTATCTAAAGTCACAGACAATGAATTTTGGCCGTGAATCAAGATGTCCTCACTTCGAATACTCTCTCGGCGGTTCCAGCCGTGCTGTGAGTTCGAGTCACTGTCTGGCATTTGACTAGGTTCATCCACAAGGGACTGACGAATACTTTGGCCCTGGTATGCTGTCTGCTAACCTTTAGTCCAAAGTTTGCAAATGCGGCTTTTTTGAATTCAATATGGCGGGAAAGCATACCATCAAAAGTCGCAAATTGGCTGGGGGGTCAAAACTCCCCTCCAGGAGCGCAGAGTATTTTGTTCGCCGGGCTTCTTTGTTTTCACGATGTGCTTTCTGGCACCGGTCCTCTTCGTCCTTCTCCTGCTGGAGTTCTAGAGCTGCATTGTTATGTGCAACCTCTGCTTCACGCCTCTTATTTTCTAGATCAAGGCACTTGGCTTCGAGATCATGAATGCGTTTCTGAAAAGCTTGCTGGTCACGTTCGAATGAGCGAATGAGCGCTGGCTGGAGACTTTCTCATTCTCGTATTGGGCTTGCAAGCCCACAAATACTTCTCTCAGCTGCTGGAGGAATTGGGCCGCTCCTGCCGCGAAATCTGGCGACGCAGCTCGTAGTTTTACGTCCATGGGGGCAATGGACCCAAGATACCTAGGTATAAAGTTGCATGAAGAGCTGCCAAAAGATGCAAATTTGTGCGGAGAAAGGATGCAAATTCTTGAATAGAAAAATGAAGAGACATCCAACAACCTGGCAGAGATTTTTGCCTTTTGTGTTGGCCTTTCCGAATGAAGACATCCAGGGCTCAAGTGTCGGCTTTCTGCATATGGCTCGCACGTGATGGCCAGTCACGACAATCCGTTCTTCTTGTCCAGCTTTCCCCAGGCTCTACAATGCACTATGATGTATATGAATTCTTCCTTTGTGGTGATCATATCACACTGGAAGATAGATATGATCACTACACAGGTTTTGGTAACATTGTCTTCGTTCCGTAGACGTGGGGATGACTTCGTGTTTCCCATATTTCCTTGCTTGATGTCTTTGTGTAAGTGGATGATTGATTGAGATCAATATTTGGAGTCCATTATCTGAGTAGTTCCTATTTTCATACATAATCACCGTCATGCAGATGATTCCTCTATGGAATTTTATCTAGTAGGAGTGTGGGAAGAGGCTCTGTGGCCGCGTAGCAGACACCCGAGCAGAGCTGGGCCATTTGAAGTAGCAAACATGTCATCAACTAGAGCCTCAGCCCACATCAATGATATCTTCAGACTGATTCGGAGGCTAGTAGGTGTCTGATAGTCCCCTGGCCTTGGATACCTCATTGTTATGAGTAGCAGCCGTTCAAGGCCTGTGGCATAAATTCATGCACGAGTACGGAAATAGCTGCAAGGGTATTCGAGTTCTTGGCCGTTTCCGGGAGTTGACAGGTCAGCACCGGTCCGCTCAGCAAAGTGAACATGAATTGGCATTATGTGAGACTTATGATATAATATGATTGATTCTATTGCACTGTGAGCATCTCGGTAGATTTCAATTACATACAAGGCTCCACAGTGACCGTCAAGACCTGCCGTTGACCATGCGCGGTCCAGCGTGCCAGCGTGCCTGAGAGGCGCTAATGCCAGCTGGGATCAGCCTTGGTGGGCTGCAAGGTGGAAGTGGACACCTAACAGCTGCCGGCCTCTATCTTATCGGCCAAGTACTCTTGCACGGAAATGGGGTGCAGAGGTACCGACCGGCGCCAAGGATGACCGCTACAGGGGTCCTCCAGAAAGTTGTCCTCTGGGGAGCTTTCCATAATGTTCGTCAGTGGAAAGGCCAGATTCCCACATGCGCTTTACTTGGGGGCTTCAACACAAAAGGCATTTACTTCCTCCTTTGAGTTTGCTTTCTTTTCTACCCCGTCAGTCTCCCCTCCCCTCCTCGCTCCCCACGCTACTGTCACATTCATTTAAAGAGGCGTCGAGTCAGAGCATATACCCAACACGTCACAAACAGTCCATCTCGCCGTCGGTTGGGCCTGACAACCCCCACCAAGAGCGCGCCCATCATGGCGGGAACAACGTTGTCGCCGCTGCGCATGCTCCTCTGCGCAGTCTTCCTCTTCACAGCACATGTCTATGCTGCCTCAGCAGTTCTAGGCGTCGACCTGGGCACGGAATATATTAAAGCTTCCCTGGTCAAGCCCGGAATTCCTCTCGATATCGTCCTCACCAAGGACTCGCGACGAAAAGAGATCTCGGCTGTCGCTTTCAAGCGCCCCCAGAATGGCCCCAAGAAGGGCGACTTCCCCGAACGTCTCTACGGCTCTGATGCCATTGCGCTTTCCGCCCGATTCCCCGGCGATGTCTACCCGAACCTCAAGACCCTCCTCGGCCTCTCCGTCGACAGCCCGCCTGTCCAGGAGTACGCTGCCCGGCACCCCGCCCTGCAGCTCGAGAGCCACAAGGTCAAGAACACTGCCGCTTTCAAGAGCAAGGAGGCATTCACACCAGAAGAGCAGGCATGGCTGGTAGAGGAGCTGCTGGCCATGGAGCTGCAGAGCATACAGAAGAACGCCGAGAACATGGCCGGCCCCGGAACGTCGATTCGCTCCGTCGTCCTCACAGTCCCAGCATTCTATACTATCGAGGAAAAGCGAGCTGTCGAGACGGCTGTTGAGCTGGCTGGCCTGAAGACCCTCTCCCTAATCAGCGACGGGCTGGCTGTCGGTGTGAACTACGCGTCAAGCCGGACTTTCCCCACCATCAACGAGGGCGGGAAGGCCGAGCACCACATGGTTTTCGACATGGGTGCAGGATCCACCAAGGCCACCATTCTGAAGATGCAGGGTCGCTCTGTCAAGGATGTCGGCAAGTTCAACAAGACTGTCCAAGAGGTGCTTGTTATGGGAAGTGGCTGGGATCGATCGCTCGGTGGCGACGCCCTAAACGCGGTCATCGTGGACGACATGGTTGAGAAGTTTGTCGAGTCCGCCGCCGCCAAGAAGGTCGGAGCAACAGTCGAGGGCGTCAAGGCACATGGCAGGGCCATCGCGAAGCTGTCCAAGGACGCCGAGCGTTTGCGACATGTCCTTAGTGCCAACCAGAACACGCAGGCCAGCTTCGAGGGCCTGTACGAGGACGTTGACTTCAAGTACAAGATTACACGTGCCGAGTTCGAGGCCATGGTCGAGGCGCACGCCGCCAGGGTTGGTGTTGCAATTCAGGGCGCACTCGACATGGCTGGTCTGAAGGTTGACGACCTCGACTCGGTCATTCTCCATGGTGGAGCTACGAGAACGCCGTTCGTGCAGAAGGAGCTGGAGAAGGTATTTGGCAACGGGGACAAGATCCGTACCAACGTCAACTCTGACGAATCCGCCGTTTTTGGTGCCGGCCTACGCGCAGCTGAGCTCAGCCCCAGCTTCCGCGTCAAGGAGATAAGAATCTTTGAAGGTGCTGCCTATCCTGCTGGCATCAAGTGGGTCGATGGCAAGGGCAAGGCTCGTCACCAGCGTCTCTGGACTCCCACGTCCCACCTCGGCGCAACAGCAAAGGAAGTTACCTTCAACAACAAGGATGACTTCTCCGTCGAGTTTTATCAGGAAACACCTGCCCTGGCATCTGATGTCACACCGGGTGTTGAGGAGAAGATCACCAAGACATTCAACACCAAGAACCTGACCGAGACTGTGGCTTCGATGAAGGAGAAGTATTCTTGCGAGCCTAGCGACGTCCAATTCAAGTTCGGTGTACGCCTCTCGGGCGAGAACGGTGAAGTCGAGGTTACTAACGCCTATGTGGAATGTGAGGCTGAAGTTGTTGAAAAGGAGAGCTTGATTGATGGAGTTAAGAACATGTTCGGGTTTGGAAAGAAAGACGAGCAGAAGCCTCTTGCCGATGGCGAGTCTCCTGATTCTGCGGAGGGGGCCTCAACGGAGTCTGCCGAGTCTTCCAGCTCGACCACATCGACAGACACTACTGAATCGACGTCCACCAGCTCGACCACCTCTTCGGCGGCCACCACCGAGACTGCGGAAGCCAAAGAAGGCAAGAAGACGAAGAAGATTGTGTCCATCCCTGTCAAATTCGAGCTGGAGAAGTCAGGCGGTGCCCAACTCGACAAGCTTGATATCCTGCAGTCCAAGGACCGCCTGAAGGCTTTTGAGTCATCCGATAAAGCTCGTCGCCAGCGCGAAGAAGCCCTGAACCAGCTCGAAGGCTTCACCTACAAGATCCGCGACCTGCTCGAGAGCGAGTCGTTTATCGCTGCGTCTACTGACAAGGAGCGCAAGACACTCGAACAAAAGGGCAGCGACGCCAGTGACTGGCTTTACGGTGACGGTGCGGATGCCTCCAAGGACCAGTTGAAGAAGCGAATCAAGGAGCTGCAGGATATCGTAACACCCATTCAGAACCGCATCGAGGAGGCTACCGAGCGGCCGCAGCTTCTGGAGGGTCTCAAGAAAGCCCTAAAGCAGACGGATGAATTTGTGAAGGACATCAAGCAGAAGATCGCTGAGGTAGAGGCCTGGTCATCGTCACAGTCAGCATCGGCTACCGCCTCGTCTGAGTCCTCCACCGTTACAGCTGCTCCATCCGACGACTTTGCTGACCTTGAAGACGACTCGACGACCTCTACCACCAAGTCTCCCACTATGGAAGACGTCACCAAGGACCGAGGCCCAGTGCCCCCACTGTATACTCTCGAAGACCTCAAGGAGACTGAGGACCTCTTCGTCAAAATCACGGCCTGGCTGGAGAAGAAGGAGCCCGCTCAAGAAAAGCTCGGTGCCACAGATGATCCAGTTCTCACCGTCAAGTCTCTCAAGGAGTGGCGCGAGAAGCTGGACAAGGCTGGCCAGGACCTGGCCCTGAAGAGCGTGAACAACTTCAAGAAGAAGAAGGCCAGCTCATCCAAGACCAAGAAGTCCAAGGCCACCAAGTCCAAGACGACGCCTGGGTCTGAGCAGACTATCGAGATCGGCAAGGACGGCAAGATGCCCAGCGAGGAGGAGCTTCAGGAAATGATCAAGAAGCTCACGGAGGAGGCTGCCGCAAGAGAGGCAGCAGAGAAGAACAACGAAGAGACGGGTAGTGAGGAGAAGATGAAGGATAGTGATGAGCATAAGCGGGATGAGCTGTGAGCTATAGTTGCCGTTAGATGCGCCCGGCTCAGGCATTGCATTTAGATAACAAATGAAGATTCACTTGCGAGTTATGTATATCCTGGGTGCATATCAGGGGAATGTTCCGATGTCAACTAGCACTGGACTTGCCTATTTCCACAGGTGTTTCTGTGTCCTGCAGGCCAGCTTACAACCTAACTACCGAACTACCGTTGTCAATCCAGTTCAAAGGAACTCGTCAAACTATCTGTGTTGCTAAATGCCTACTGAAGTAGGGGGCTGATCTGTCAGGAATTCTGTGTACAAGCATGCCATTGTGTTGTTGGCACAAAAAGTGCTTGTGCCACCAATTGTGCAACAACCCCATGTACTCTGGGGGCCGATCGGCTGTGATGTGGCCTCCATCATTGCCGTTGGTTGGCCAACTATCTGAATCACAAGTGCCTAAGGTGAACAGCAAACGCGGGAATGACTTGCCTCATCTAGAAGAGGTTCCATGAATTTGTGCACTGTGAGCACATGCCTGTTTGCTTGGGCCCGTTTAGTATTCTCACTCGTTGCCATCCGGAGCCATAGCAAGACTTGTCATTAGACCTTGTAACCACATGTCATCACAAGGCTCCTTCTCAAGCCATTACCCAGTATTATATTCCTTTAATAAGCTGGAATATCAATCCAACTTATCAATTGAGAAATGTGTGTGTCTAAGCAAATCTAAGCCCAGGAAGACCCTAGCATGCAGAAGTAGCACAACTTGAAGTACGGAGCAGGTCTGCTCGGAGCGGCAATCTGGCAATCAGATACTTGGGGCATCTTCATGTTCAAGATCGTGGTTCTGCGTTTCAAGGCTCAAGCTATCTTTCTCAAAATTTCTTCCCTGACATCAACCCATGGTTTCATTTGGTCACTCTATGACCACCAGGTGTTTTCTAGTGATTGCGGGCCTGTCCATATGACTGGTATGTGAAAGCCCTAGAGCTCCTAAGAAATGGCTCCAAATTGTACATGGCCTGGTGAAAGCAGGCTCATGCTTTTTCATCGATGAGAATTCATTCACTTATATTTTAAACCTCGGTAGGTAAACTAGACTTTGTACAGGCTGAGATGTTCAACCGTTGGTTAGTATGGGAATGGGCACTGTCTACAAGTCTGTCTCTCCCTTGCTAACTTCAAATTCAAATGTTACTTGTGTGCCTGTAAATAGTGTGGGAAAGTGACAGGACATTATGTTGATAACTCTGTAGAATTATCTACGTGACATTCAGCTTGTGTTGTGCTATTGATATAATTGAATGTTCCAGAAATTACAGTTTGATTATTTCAACCAAAAGCCCATAGTACCAACAGTGAGTCTCCCAACGGCCAGTTACTATCAACCTGTTTTCCAGTGACAGACACCATTCACCTGAAGTGATAGGTCTAGTTAGGCGTTATCCACCTGATTTAATGCATTTAAACCCAAGTTAGGCCAACGTCAGATGCACTCTGCCTCACCCTCTTCAAACCCGCTCATCTTGCACCAGCCTCCTTCTTCTCAACCTGACATCGACTGGAACAGTATACCAGCCACCACCAGTGTCTGCCAAATACCAAACAGCTAGGTACACGGCTCTTCCAAAAGGCATGATGAGAAACATTATCACCATCCTACTTATCGCCATGGCCGCCTTCCTGGGCCTGGTCAATGCTGGCCTGATCGATGCAGGCGACCTGAACACCCACAACACCCCAAAGCTACAGAACAACACCAGTGGTAGCAACCAAACCGTGTCAAATGTCTCTGAGTCACGCACCAGCTGCTACTCGGCGGGAACAGAGTGGGCCGACCTTGGAAACTGGCAGGATGTCTTTAATGCGCTCCAGGTCAGCGGTGTCATGAGGGTCCATTCCATCCCCGCTGGTTACCACGTATGTTGACCATATTGAAAGATACTCTTGACGTCAAACACTGACCACAATCAAATTACAGATTCCTGACAATGTACCTGTGGGACCGCATTGCTACGTCTACGAGGTTGGCATCACCAAGGGCCACGCATACCCTTCCAAGGTGGACTACAACAAGGGCCTGGAGATGGTTTATACCTGCACACGCGGTGGTAAGAAGAACGTCAACTTTGTGGACCCAAATGGTGACGGAGAAATTATAGCCAAGGGCTGGGTAAAGGGTGATCCTCAGCGCAACAAAGACTGCTCTGGGCAGTAGAGATGGATCAAGGGAAAGTTCAAGGGCAACCGTTGGCAAGCATAGGTACACTGGTCAGAGATTTTATGCTTATCACTAAGCATGAAGGATCATGAAGATTGATACATACCAGTGCCTAGGCCTCAGTTGGGAGGACAGACCTATATTTATTCGCAGGTGTTTAATTTCACCACTCGAAAGCTCATCACCTAGGTATTTACCAACAAAGCCTTGAGACTTTTCCAACAAACAATCCTTTACATATTGCCTGTGAAATGAATGCCGTCAACTGGTAGCCACCAACATAGAGCAATGTGCAAAAGCTGCATCAATTAAACACTCCTTACGTTAGGTTTCTGGCCTTAATAGCCACCAAACGTTCTGGAAACATGTTGGATTCTCAATACATGATGATGATTGTGACAAGTCTGTCGGCAGACGTTTTCTGACAAGACAAGCAGACGGCTGGCAACATGATCGTAGCACTTTACCCAGCCACAAAGGTTGTACTCCAAGGGGCTTGGGCATCTATCGTGACACAGCCCTGGAGTGACATGTATGTCTGTGTAGCCCGTGTGAGTGTAAGTGTAAGTTGTGCAGTTACATGGTCAAGCGAGGTCTGGTACACAGATACCCCGGGACCCTACAATTTCATATCAAGTATATGCGCAACAGCTACGGCTCCCCTTCTCCTTTTCTGAGAACCAAATTTGTTGAGTTGTTTAAGACTTGATCCAAAAGAAGGGGCCCGCCCTGTAACGCCAGGTTGGAGCACTTGAGGCAGTAAAGGCCTACCTAGGTGGAAATGCTCCAGGTTGAGCAAGCATGAGCCTAGGATGGAAGGGCCATGCCCAAACAACCATCCCTGTTGATAAAGGTATACTAGAAAATACATACTTACTCAGGTATCATGGAGTGAGTAATTCATGCTCTGAGCACAGTATAGTACATGTGTTACGGAGAGGGGATGTTCAGGGCATCCAGAAGGCAGGTGCAGCGTCCAGTGCATCCTGTGAGGTAATTCTCGTGTGGTGTAGCATAAAGGTTTAACGGTCACACAACTCCTTCCCATCAATCTAGTCCTTTGGCATCAAGCCATCTAAAAATCCTCATTGTGAAGGGAGAGTATGTGTGCAAACTTCTTGGCTGTGTACCATTCGATTTCCTTGTTGGTTTCTTAAGCAACGGAGAGCAGCATGATGCTGTGCATTCCAGGCTCCCAGCCCCAGGCCACATCCAGGCTCAGGTTGGACCAAGCTGTGATTTATCCCGATAAGGACAGAGCGGCAGGGCAAGAACATGTCGGTATGGCAGGAGCTGCTGGTTTGAGCTTGCTCCAGCTCAATTGCGGTGAGCACGCGGCATGTGCCCTCTGGGCTCCCAGGGCCCATGCTTTCCAACCTGTCCTGCACATTTAAATCTTTCTGTCAACCTTCCCTCACGCGCCCAGTGACCACCAGTCCTCCTCACCACCACCTCCCAACACCCTCTTTTGACCATCTTCCTGAAAACCTCTTCCTTCTTCAGGCATCCAAAGGTTGGAGACACTCTTGTTTCTGGACTCTCGTTCAATCCCAGAGCTAACCAAACTGGACGCGTATGTATCTCGTTGATCGTTTGTCCCAGTCCATCTTGCTTCATCACCTCCCACTGACAATTATCTTCCCTGCCTCTTGAATTGTGGCAAGTAGCCTCAATCAACTCAGCGCAAGTTGCACATGGATCAAGATGAAAATTCAAAAGTTTAGCTCCTTGCCCACCCAAGCTTGCTTACTTCCTGTCCTCCCTGTCCCTTCTTCCTCCCTCAACTAAGCACTGATCGCAATCGTCCACTTGGCCCTTGAGGAATCCCAGGCAGCCCGCTCTTCTAGGAACCACCTCGCTGACTCCACAACTATTTAGCAGACCACACGAACCGACCTAGGTAGTACGACCTACTTTGTCAAATCTGCCTGTTGACCTCGACGAGCAGCCCACAATGAGGGTTCCAACCAGCAAGAACATGCAGCTCGTCTGCCTGTGTCTTGCCCTCATGGTCTCCACCGCATCCTGTCTTGATCCCTCTCTTGGCACCTTCACCTTGGACACCATTCCCAACCGTAACTTCAAGGGCCGCAATGGCACTGCTGCCTACATGAAGGCTTTGGCCAAGTATGCCCATCTGGCAGACAGCAACAGTGCCAACAAGGCTACCGACCCTTCTGAATCCTGTTTGTATTTCCCACCCCCTTCAGTATGCAATACAATGTGACTGACAAGTTTCAGTCGGCGGGATTGTGGGCTTCAACGAGGAGAACGATCGCGAGTGGCTGTGCCCCGTCCAGATTGGCACTCCTGGTCAGACAGTCAACTTGGACCTTGATACTGGTTCTGCGGACCTGTGAGTTTTACCTACACCAACTTGTACAAGTATAACAAGTGTATCTGGTTGATTCTAAGTATACTATATATAGCTGGGTCTTTACCCCGGAGTCATCCCGCTTTCCTGGTGACCTTGGAAACCGGAGCCTCTTCAACATCAACCATTCGTCTACTGCTCGTCGCCAAGAAGGTGCTGCTTGGACCATAACTTATGGTATGTGCCCTGGCCCATTGTGCTCTCCCAAGCGCTCTTTCTGATGGCTCTCAGGTGACGGCTCTTTTGCTGGAGGCAGTGTCATCACCGATCTTGTCCAGCTTGGTGACCTCAAGGTCAAGAACGCCACCGTTGAGATTGCAACACACTTTAGTGACGAGCTCATTGATGATGACCAATACCTTTCGGGCCTTGTTGGCCTGGCCCTGAACCTGTCAACCACCATCACTTCCCCTGGCCACTCTGGAAAGGGTGGTGTCCCTGGTATAATCAAGAGGCTCAAAACACAGGGTATCGATTCCATTGGCTGCGACCTGCAATTTCACAACAAGGGTGTCTTCACCTTTGGCAAGGCCAACACTTCGGCCTATATTGGTGAGATGCACTATCAGCCAGTGGTGAAGAGCAGGGGCTACTGGGAGGTCCGAATGTCCACCATTCGGTTCGGTGGCAGGAACAAGACTAGGGTACACGCATGGCCAACCATTGTCGACACGGGCACCTCCCTCATGCTGATGGGATCCGACAAAATTGTGGATGACTACTGGAAGCTCGTCCCCGGTGCAAAGTTCTCCTTTGCCGAGTACGGATATGTGCACCCCTGTAATGCGACACTGCCGGACTTCCACTTCGGCTTCACTGAGGCCTGGGCCGAGTTCACGGTGCCGGGGCGATACCTAAATTATGCATCGACCGTGGGGAGGTCAGAGGGCCCCGGATGGTGCTACGGTGGCCTTCAGTCCTCCAGCATGGACCTTACCATCATGGGTGACCTTTTCCTCAAGGCCCTGTATGTCGACTTCAACATTGCCAAGGAGGCCGTGGGATTCGCCCAAAAGAACCTCCTTTCCTAATCCCCAATCACATCGTGCATGCCTTCTCAAAGAGCGCATCCAGCACTGAACGCTGATCTCAAGGACGAAATTCCGTGCCAGCTTCGCGGTGGAAGGATGCAGTACCCTTTTTGTTTTTGGGGTGTGCCTGTGGCCGTTTTAGAAAAGCTTGAGGACTCTAGAAGGACTTGAACCGCAAGGGTTTCGAGGAGCAATTTTGTGGGGGATTGAGTTTATCCTATCCAGGCCATCGCTTTTGTAATTTTTGGTGCTTTCACACGCGGCGACTCGCAATTTCGGAGGAAGAGGGAATGGTCCAAGGAGGTAATGCTGAGGTGGTGGTGATCCATGGATTGAAAAGGTCTTGGACCGTTTGGTGGCACTGCAAAATAAACGAACATTCTGTTGCTCAAGTGTCCTTCCTTGCGATCGACATGGCTTCGTGGTCGTTGTCCTCCCAGTGCTCAGGCATCCCCCCTCACCCGTCCTGGCCTAGCCCTCCACCGGCGCCCCCGTTGGACCCGGAAGCGCTGGAGTGGTGGTGTTTCCGCATTCCTCAGACCGCCTCTCCCATAGCAAGCCTCACATGCCAGGCCAGATCACGCTCGAGGTATTCAAGAACATGCACATTAGAAGCCTGCCCCCAAGTCGAGAACACGATCGGTAATGTACATTTTGTCCCTCCTGGCCAGCTGTCTCCGCTGCCAGTCTCCCGCCCTTCTTTCCGTCTGCCGTGTCGAGCTGCGCATAACAGCACGAGACGACACCTCTCGCCTCCCTAGGTCCTTTCACATCATCGTGGTCATCAGACATATCATCTAACTATTTCCATCTCATTCCTCTTCCGCCCGTTCCATTTCCCACCTCCCTCCTCCGCCCGGGGTACCGACTTATTCCCCCACTTTCAATCGGTTGTCGAAAATGCTGTGAGAAATCCTGATTCAAGGAAGACATAGAATGGTGGGACCCGCCGCCCTTGGTTTTTCGTTTTCGCTCTCGCCGTCTGTTGCACGGCGGGATGGGATTGCTTCAGGGGCGGGATTCCGGAATAAAAAAAAAAAATACAAAAAGGCTACGCAATGACGTTGGGCGCGGTGTTCCCTAACGTTGGAGAAGAAAACGAATGGTGGCTCGTGGTTGATGGGCCCCCTGCGCACAATGAAGCGAGCTGGTGGCCTGCGGAATATGGGGCCCATCGTCTATAATACCGGAAATACATGGATAGGCGCGGCTCGAAGTGACGGTTTGTGGTGATTCCTCAGGGAGATGGGCCGGTCGAGCGATTGGGGGGTTCCTGTGGCAGTACGGGGCCAGTCTTCTCGGGTGGGGACTCTCTCGCGGTGGTTTGCTCATGGGATGTCTTGTTGTGGTGGTCGTCCCGCAGGGTACAAGGCCAGGCCGGTCCAGTGTCTCCTCGGCCAGCCCCCCATGTCTCTTCAAGGCGCATCAGGTCGGAGAGGGGCGTGTAGCTTAATATTTCTGCTCGCCGTCGCCATCTGGACCGGGCACAATTATAAAGTCAGCACTTCCGTTCTCGGAGCCGATGGTTCGAACACTCCTGATTGATCTCGCGTCGGAACTTGGGTTCTTATTGATATTGTGATGGAGCTGGCTCGCATTAATAAGAGTGGCTGTGGGACTGAGCTGGGCGTTCTGGTAGTGCTGGCTGCGGAGCTGCTGCGCCTGGTGCAGAACATGGCTGCCAGTGCCATTCGCACTCGTCGTCATGCGCGGCACCAGGTGTGGGTGACGGAATCGGGGGTACTCTGGGCCAAAGGATGTGGTATAAGGGTCTTCAAGAATCTCGTATTCACCTTCACTAGCCGTGGGCGTCGGCGGCAGGGCCCCCGGAACCGCCTGCTGGCTCGCCCTGGCCGTACCTGGTCGGGAACCCCCGTGTTTCTGGTCTTGCGCCTGCGGCTGCTGCTGCTGCTGCTGTGTGACGGGCTGGAGGTGAGGGAGTGTGGCTTGAGGGGCGGGGTTGACGGCGTTGCGCTTGAGGCGGGCCTCCATGTCTTTGATGCGCTGCTCGAGGGCCTCGAGCTCAGAGGCTCGGCTCTGGACGACCTGCTTTCTGTGGTACGCGAAGACGGGCCATGTCAGCGGTTGCGCCCTTTGGTGCCCCGGTTGAGGGCAGCAGTCTCGGATTTTGCTTGGGCAGGGAGAGACAGGTGGCACGACGTGCAGAGGCCGTCATGGCGCTGGCAAGGGGGTTACACACCGCTCATCGATCTTGGCATCGAGGTCAGCAACGCTGTTGTCGAGGCGGAAGATGTCGGCCAGTTCGGCGGAGAACGAACGGGCGATTGTGCTGGGGGTCCATTGTTAGCTCTTGAAACTTGGAACAAAGAAGGGAGCCAAGAAATCGGGGGGCCTTGGTAGTAGCTGGGCCTTGGAGGGGGCAAGACGTACGACTGCGGTCGGCGGCCATTGGGCTTCCAGTCCCGGTCGAGAGATTCGTCTGAGAAGCCAGTATCGGCCATGGTGGAGGAGGTGTTGTTGGAGGACATGTTGTCGTTGTTGGCGGGCTGCGAAGGGTTGGTGGTGGGCGATGAGGAGGCCATTCCGACTGGTGGGTTGCGACTGATCCTGGAGGGATAAAAGATGGGGCGAAGGGCCTGTCTGGCTGGTGTCTGTGGTATAGAGTGCTTGGACTGAGGAGGACTTGTCGCAATGGGATGTGGGCAAGGCAGAGAGAGGGTCGCAGGAGGGCGGGCGAGGATCGGGGACGGTTGGATTTAGATGTAAGACGGCCGTCCTGTAAAAGGGGAACCTTGGAAGCGCTACGGCGCGGCAGCAATCAACCAGTGGTCGGGGGCCCGGTGCCACTCTAATGCAGCTGCCAGAGAGAAAGAGGGTCCGCACCCCTCCCTTGTCCCTGTCCCTGGAGCGGCCCTGCAGCAGGCTACTATTGGGCGGGAGGAATGATTCTAGCACTTGATCATCTTCTGGTCCGCCTGCTAATAACCATCGACCTCGGGATTGGAACCTAGCAAACCCAGGCACTTGGGCACGGGCTGGCTCTTTGGGCACCCGCCACTAGGAGCAGGCCGCCTGCAGCATTGCCATACCACAAGTATCAGGGGTCCAGCTCGAGTCAAGTCATTTTTAATCTGTATTCCACTGTGGTACGTACGGTAGTATCACAGGTATATTTATCCTCGAGGCTAGCCCAGGCACATGGCAGCAGCCATCGACCTGCGACCCCACCACGAGGCCCGTCTTGGCCCGCGAGAGCTTCAGCCGGATGACCAACTAGCAGACCAACTAGCAGACCAACTGACTTTGCTCCAGATGATCGACCCAAATCCAATCGATTCGGCAGCTGGCACTTTGGAGGCCACCAGTCCCAGCCCGCCAGCCCGCACATGCGGCCTGAAACAAAAAGCCTCCCACGGCGCAGTAGCTTGACGCTGGAATGAGCCAAATCAAACTCCAGATTGGGCATGGGCATGGACGTTTAATCGGGCTGAGTTCATGCGCCCAACCGCCGCAGACCTGGCAAGCAGCCCCAAGCAGCCCCGACCACGGCCACGGCCAAGCCTAAAGTGCCATCGAGTATCATCGAGTCTCATCCGCCCGAGTCGAGTTCGAGCCAAATCAAGTCCACAAGGGCTGCATGAGCTGATGGGCTGTTGAGCTGAAGTAGTCGGGCTGGTTTGGTCCTCACACGGCTGACACGGTGCTGCACAGCAGCGGGTGAACGAATGCATTGGCCGGCTCCTTACCTAGGTATTGATAAAGGGCAGCGCATTACATCGCCTCAGCCTCGAGTCCTTGGTGATCTTGGTTGTCCATGACGTCCCACCGCCACCACTCCAGCCCTCCCCCCTGTTTCAACCAACTTTTTTTTTTATCCCTCTCGGCTACCCCATGTCGGCAACCTCCATAATTGGGTCTCGTCTGCGTTTCCCCAGACAGACCAAGGCGACGACAGCCCTGACAGATCGGCCTTGATTTCGTGGGTTTGCCGTACCAACCAATGCTGCCATGGGGAGGCAGGCCATTCATCTCACTTATTACTACTATCAGAGCCGAGCTCATGTGTACAGTGTGCATCGGGTCTCGACAGATATTACCCACCCAGAAGCTCTACAAATATCATCCCGGACTGGGACACCTTATTAAGTGTACCGTTCAAATCCGACCCTCTCGTCTGTTTTGTAGATCCAGGTGTCCACCGCCCGGTGGATCCGCCTCGCCTACACTCCGGAGAGAGCTGACCATGTACCACAATATTTCTGGAATATTTTGGTTCGCCGTCTTCTCGATGCAACCTCGCCTTGCAACCAACGACTCTCTCTTTCTCTCCCTCTCTGACCTCCTCTCTGTCAACCACTCGCAAGTAGACCCGCTTACCTGTGCCACTCCTTGCCACTCCTTGCCACTTGGCGGCCATATGAGGTCTCACATAAGGCATAGACGGGCAAGCGTTCAGCTGATCAGCTTCGCATTACCCAAGCCTTGCCTCTTGTAAATGATAGAGGGGTTGATGTCCTGCAGTGTGGGATTGAGAGGAAGAAGCCCCACGATACCCGCAGCCCGTCATTTGGCACAGACCCGCTCTTAATTCCACGTTCATTTCTTTGCGCATTTCACTGCATTGCGTGCACGACCCCTTTTGCGGCCCCCCGTTGATCAAGATCAGCACATGCCACTGTGAGTGGCCTGCCTCACCTTCGGGCTCTCCTAGGCGGGCCCACACCCGGATATCAGTCTGCCTGCGGGCAGCAAGTACGGTACACAGTACTACATAGTAGGGCTAGAGAAACCTCGATCGGCATCGCGGCACCTCACTGGCGACGTCGTGTGGCGTTCTGGAGTCTGCTGTCTGTCTGCTAGGCGGCCAGTATATTTTCCCCAACCTCCTACGGGGTACGGGCTTTCCTCCTATGGAATAACGGTCATAGAGGTCCATTCACAAAGGGTGATTACATACATACGTGTCCAAGTGATAGGGACATTTTCAACCACATATGGACTTCGCTATGGCGTGTTGTCATTTATGAAAGGTGTGGCAGTGTTGTGGTAATAATCTGTGTGATGGTGGTGTATTGTCTGGCATCAAGTACGGCATACTCCGTACAGCGGATGCTTGCTGTCTGGGTGTGTGGGCGGCTGACGAGCTACAGTAGGAAGCGCCGTCCTGAGTTAGCCGAGGTCGGCGCCGACCTTATCTTATCGATGGTCCTAGTCCAGCTCCTGCGTCCTTCACTCTGACAGCGAGCGCCAGGAAGGCGCCGGCAAGTCGAAGTCGCGCTTGTCACGTGCCAGCGAAAAAACAGATCGCGAACTGCCTCTACTCTCTACTCTACGGACAAGAACAGCGTCAATATCCACACCGCATCCGATGACATCATCTCAATAGCCATCAAGACTGTTTCCCATCGCCGTGTCGCAGTCTTCGTACGTCTTCGTCCCATCCACAGGCGTGCTGGTCTGCTGGCAAGCGACCAGATTGCCCTGCATTTGCCTGCGTCGGCTAACCACGCGCAAGGTTTCGCGCGCGCAGATCGTGGCGCCCATCCATCTATTGCAGCGGCGACACTCTCCCCTCGGTGGCTGGCGAGGAGGACCGACGTGGGGGATGATTAACGCGACAGCCTACACTCCCCTCGAGTCGCTATTAGTTATCACCTGGATTAGAAAGACAGGCGCCGAGGCGTTCGAAGCTGCTGCATTTCCCAAGCTCTCGCGCGAACTCAACGACAACGACTCCATCAAGGAGGACCCCACTTACGATGCCTCACGATTAAACCCCGAGTCACTCCAGGAGCTCTTCTTGCACTTACTGCAGGATGAGCTGACATACGAGGCAAATCAAAACCAACTACAAGATGCAACTGCCGCCGATGCCTCGCTGTCGCCTAATAGCAAGAAGCGCAAACGCCCAGGGCCGACCCCCCAGCTGACGACTCTTAAGGAAGCTCGACAGCATGCCGACAGGTTAGCAGATGCTGAGAATAAACTCTGGGCCAAGTACAAGCAGAGAAGTGCGCAAGAGCTATGGGAGGACCAGGAGGAGGAACGCAGGCTCGAGGCCGAGATCCAAGAATTAGAGGCGCAGCAGCAGCAGCAGCAACAGCAGCAGCAGCAGCAAAAGCAGCAACAACAGCAGCAGCAACGGGCACAAGCAGTCGAAGCAGAAAAACTGCACAAGAGTGCCAGTGCCACCCCGAGTGCGCCTCAAATCCCGGCAGGCTTACCAAGTCGTCCACCAAGTGTTGCGCCGGCCGGCGATGCGCAAAAGGCTGCCCGTCAAACCAATGGAACCACTGGTCCGCCCGCGCAACCACCAACTCCGGTCCCCAGTGCCGTGCCGATCCAAGCTGGACATCAACCACCACCACCGCGACAGAACTCCCCAGCGCAGGCGGTTGCTGCGCCGACGCCCCCTCCTTCCCTCGTCCAACCTCCAGCACCGTCGCACCCAGGAGCGTTGCCTCCAGCAGGACCTCAATCGTCTTCCAGGCCACCTAGCGCTACATCGCCGGTCTTACAGCCACCACAGGGGCTTCCCACATTCTCACCCCAACCTGGGCAGCCCTCACCTGTCGCGCCACCATCTTCAGACGTTCTGCATAGGCCAGACAGCTCTCAGAAGCCCAGGCATCCGTCTCAACCGCCTACGACTCAGGTACCTGTGCCTGGATCGCTCAAATGGGAGCCCCTTTACCAGCCATATTCTCTGCCTCAACATCAGAGGCCACCTCCAAACAATCCACAATTCTCTCAACCGCCCGGCCAGCAACGCCTGCAGCCATGGACACCACAACAGTTACAATATCCTCAACAATCAACAATACAAGCAGTCCAACAAGGCTACGGACAACAGACAGGGCAGCAGCAAGGACAATCGGGATCCAGGCCACTCCTTGTCGCACCACCAGCACCAGGTCACCCGCCTCCTCAGCTGCCAGCGGCGCCTATCAGATCACAATCGGGATCCCCAGCGCCTGGGCAGCAGCAGCGGCCCCCCCAGGGGCATTCCCCACTGCCCGGTCACACGCAACTTCCGCCGTCGCCATATCAGCACACTCAACAGGTCTTCCAGCCACCGGCATCTCATCCGCATGCTAATCGCATAGCGCCCGGTGCATCTGCAACTCCGCCACCTCGTTCGCCTGCCAATGTGCAACCGCAACAATGGCAGAGGCCACCAGCCACGACTCAACCACATCCTCCTGCCGCTACGCAAGGGCAAATCCCAGTGGTGCCTCCACCTGCGCCCCCAACACAGGTGCCACCGTTCAGCTCGCCGCGTCCCCAACCTGCTCGGAACACCGTGCCCCAGCACATCATTCCTCCGCCAGTTGGTACTCCAGGCCCCTCGCATCGACGACCTCATCCCGTGCTACCGCACACTCCGACCACAGTGCCTTTTGCTTTCCGCCACGCGGCTGGGAGCGGCACTAGATGGACTACAGCCCAGCCAACACCATCAACCCCAGGACCTGGCATCGGAGACTTTCCAAGCCCTGCGTTTGAGCCTATAAGCCCAATCTTGCACACAGACAGCCTCTCGGCGTCTGCGACCCAGACGTCGCCTACGAAAGCCAAGGCTGATGACGACGTGCCACCTGGTAAAAAGCCGTCGAGCAATTCCCACAGTGCACAGCGTGGGCTCGAGGCTCGCGAAACTTCTCGCCAAAGACGAACACCTTCTGTCGTACCGACGCGAGAGGTGGCTGATGAGACGGACGTGGAATCTGCGACCAAGGTTAAGCGCGAGGAAGCAACGCCCAAGCCGCTAGAAGAGGCTGGTGATACCACCGCAGATGAGAGTGTATCAGGCCGACGCCAGATGAATTCACCTAGAGCCTCAAGACATCCTAGCAAGCGCAAGCGGCAGGAGTCTTTGGCATCTGACCATCGTGCAGCGTCAGAGAATCGACCACGCGCCCCTCCGGCCCCTCCAGGTATTCCAACCCACGTCCTATGGACTCGCGGCTTCCCCCGAGTTAGTGTCTCTACTTTGGATCAAATCTCCGGCCACAAGCATGCGAATATGTTTTCTCATCCCATCCGAGAACGAGACGCACCAGGTTACAAGACAATTGTACTCAGCCCGACCGATCTCAAATCGATCAGGGCGGCGATCACGGCTGGAAACAAAGCCGCAGCTGCCGCAGCAGCAGCCCTCCCAGAAGGCGAGCAAGGTGCTCATAGTGTGTGGCTGCCCATCAGTGAGGAGCTCGTGCCGCCTCGCGGCATCATCAACAGTTCACAACTCGAACGTGAGCTGGTGCATATGTTCTCCAACGCCATCATGTATAACCTGGATCCGCACCGTGGGCCAGGCACTGCCTTCATGAAAGGGAGTGGGCGCGGCGGCAAGGGGGCTAACGACCACAGCCAGGGCGGTCATAGTGCTGGAGGGGCCGACCCGGGCTTTCTCGGATACGCTGTTGACGAGAACAGTGTTGTTAATGACACCCAGGCCATGTTCGCCGAGGTCGACAAGCTGCTCATGGAGCTGCGATCCACCGAGGCGCAGTCCTCACTGGCGCCGCTGCCGCCCGGGGCCATACCAGCAAGCGATAGGTTGGCTCGCTGGGCTGCAGACACGGCGGTGTCGTCCGCCGATACACCTGCTTCGGTCACTGGAGGTGGTGCAGACGAGCTAGGCGATGATGGCGAAGAGCATCACACAGATCGCGATGTCGAGAGCGCCAGCGGGACCGTCAAGCGACGACGGGTCGGCCGTGGTTGAGACCTGCCCTCGCGGGATTTCTTGGTGCAGAATCTTGAGTCGCGTTCTATCTTGTGTCACGAAGTCGATTTGCTCGAACGTGGCCAGCCTCGGCCCCCCGAGCCCCCCACCAGCGGCCATTTCGACCGCGTTCTTGGACACACTGTTCATCATCCGGGAGGCCGCCTCATGGCTGCACTTGGATGATGTTGGTCATAATAGTCCATTAGATTTTAATGTCTTGCGTCGTGTTGCGCAATTGATACGATAAGCGGGGGTATGGCCTTGACAGCAAATTGCTTGTCGGAGTTTGTAGAGTTAGACTACATGTATGTTACAATGAGAGATGCAACCCCTGTTTGCGTTGCAGTGTATGCGCAAAGAATTGAGCCCCAAGGGACGCCGGTTGCGGCTGGGAGTCACCACAAAGAAGTGTTCCGAGTGTGCTTCATCCCTGCAGGGAGTGACATACCCCGACTGTTCTGGAATGCACTTATAATGGCCCTCAGATGGGTGTAAATAGGGTTGGCAGTAAAATTGGATTTAATCCCCGGATCTGCATCAACCGGCCGAAGTCCTTGTGGTTCCTGATCTCATTACACCCATGGAATCGGCATCGCAATGCCCGTATCAATCATGTCTACCTACCATATGTACCAAGGTACCTAAGTACTTGGCCATCACCAACCGGACCCAAGATCTAAGTACTAGTAAATCAATTAAGTTCACCTTCGAAGGGAGGAAAGCAATGGTGTGCGGCTCGATGCCATACATGCCAAAGCTTCTGTAAACCACCTTCGGAAATGAAAACATCACCAGATGTCTTGAACTTCGGCTGGACAAGCTGCTGCACGACAAGTACATGTTCATCTACAATATGTTTTGATTTAATTTATTTTTCTAAGCTCTGGATACAGCTTACAATAGCGACCACTTCATTCTGTTCATCTAGGTGTCAGACTCGTATTATACTATATTAGTACCCTATCAGACCAATCTTCTATAGCACAGCCTCCTAGCCTCCAATACCACAGGGCCACAACATAAAGTGATCATACAACATATCTGATATTGACGCAGTGTGACCGCCTGGCAGCCCCTGGTCTGGTCACATGCACGTTGATGCTAAGGAGCGGAGAACAGAGGCATTTCGGGCCGTCAGCGCAGACGCAGTCGACCGCCACCCGAACTTTTGATAACTATTTGCCCGCTGCAGTATCAAAATGCAGGTACTCGTATCCACCTGCATGTTCTGGCCAAGTTCTTCTCGCCTCAAATCCCCGTTGAAAGCCCCTTCAAGTTCGCCGACGTGGTCCAGAACATGTAAGCCAACCGCGCTTGCGGGCAGTTGCCAGTCCAAAAACGCGCGATGCCATGGATGCCTTCTCAAGATAGCCACATCGCAGAGGGAGGAATAAGCTGACTATTGCCCCGGGCTGAGTTCCTGCATTACATCGGTCCAGCTGGCTCGCTACCAGAGTCGGGGAGCAGCGCCGAGCGGTCCAACAGGCGGATTCTTTAATCCAGCGCGTGTGACCCTCCGATGTAGTCTCCATCGCCATTCGTGCGCCACGGCTGCATGCTCAAGTGCTTACAAGGTGTGGATATGCCCCGCGCGGCAAATCTTGGATCGAAGTACCTATATAGCCGCCGTCATGTTTGTGATACCTTTATCGCATGTTCAAGTTTCTGCTGTAATCGTTCCGCCGGTGTTGTCCACTGTTGAATCCACTCTCCCATTAAGCTCGCGTTTGGATTTATCGTAGACGACGACAACATGTTGGTCCTCTACGCGGCTTTGCCCCTGGGCGCTCTTGCAGTGGCGATAAGTAAGGTTTTCATTACCAGTGAAGGACCTTCAAAGTCTTCCAATATTATGTATGATTGGAAAGCTAAACAAATTTGCATTCATAGGAGCAGGGCAGGGCCAGGGCAGCTCGAAGGCTGCTTTACTGCCGTTCGAAACTAAACAGCTCAGCGATAGCACAGTCGCCGACCTGGCCGATCAAAATCCGGATGACGCGAGTATTTTCGACTTCGGAGATGCCAACTCTGCTGGCCCAAGCGTTGTACCAGAAACTGGCTGTAAGGCATTCCCAGGCGAAAGCTACTGGCCATCAGAGAAACAGTGGTCGCTGCTTGCGAACCTGACAGGCGAGTCTCTCATCAAGGCAGTGCCGTCTGCTGCGGTTTGTTATGCCGACTGGCCACAATATGATGTTGAAGAATGCGCCTCTGTCACAGGGAAATTTGGGACGCCGAGATTCCAGTATGCACAAGTTTTCTTGACTTTTACACACACAACCAACACTTTCTGATCTATAAAATAGGGCATATGAACCAACTGGACTTGACTGGCCCCTGTTTGAGGGCCTATCATGCCTGCCTCCCAACATGACAAGACCGGGAGCAACTTGCACGCTTGGGGGACTGCCTTCGTATGTCATGAACGCCACCGACGTGGAGAAGATACAACTCGCGGTCAACTTCGCCAGAAATCTCAACCTGCGTCTCGTTGTCAAGAACAAGGGCCACGACTTCAACGCCAAGTCTACTGGTGCTGGAGCACTTACAGTTTGGACCACCTACCTCCAGGACATCGTCTTCCTCGGCGAAGATTACAGGTATGGCACCGGGTATACGGGCCCAGCCTTCAAACTTGGCTCCGGGGTAGAGGCGATCCAAGTATATGAAGCTGCTGACGCATTGAACTTACATGTTGTGGGAGGAATTGCGCGCGTGAGATTCTCCTCGCCTTTAGTACCTGGACTTTTTTGGATGCATTGACTGATTGTACGATATAGACCGTTGGCCTGGCTGGAGGGTATTCTGCCGCAGCTGGCCACTCCCCGTTAATGGGTAAGTACGGCCTGGCTGCTGATCAGATATTGTCCCTGGAGGTTGTATTGCCGAACGGGCGATTTGTTCATGTCGACTCTGAGAACAACCCCGATCTCTACTTTGCCCTCCGGGGAGGCGGTGGCAGCACATACGGCGTTGTCACCTCAATCGTCGTCGCTGCGTATCCCAAACAGCCTGTCACGACACTCACATACACATTCGGTACCAGTCAAGGGATCGGCATCGAAACATTTTGGAGTGGAATTGATGCTTTCTGGGCAACGTTCCCGACCAACGCAGACGCCGGGATCTACAGCTACTGGTACATAATGTGCCCAAGCAAGGAGACATGCTCATTCCTGATGCTGCCACAATGGGGAAACAACATGTCGGCCGCTGATCTTCGCCCCTTCAACGAGCCGCTATTCAAAAACCTCGACAGCCTCGGGATTCAGCCCGAGAACGTAAGCTACGTCGAGTACCCGGGGCTCCTCGACGCCTTTACGAACACATTCCCCGCCGCGAGCGAGGGTGCAGGCATCTGGAGCTTCCACACAGCCTCCCGGCTGTTCCCCCGGTCCAACTGGGACGACGCGGACGCACTGTCCCGGCAGTCGAGCGGCGTCCGCGCCGCGATAGAGGCCACCGGGCTGATGGTGGGTTACAACTTCAAGCCGGCGGACAACCCGCGGGTCAACCAGACCAACGCAGTGACCCACGCGTGGCGCGACACTCTATTCTTCGCGATGTGTTCTGCAAACTACAACCTCACCGCAACGCCGGAGGACATCGCGGAGGCGAACAAGGACCTGGTCGAGCTGCTGCAGCCGTGGAGGGAGGCGAGTCCCGGGGCTGGGACGTACATGAACGAGGCGGACATCAACGAGCCCGACTGGCAACAGGCGTTTTATGGGGATAACTATGGATATCTGTATGAGCTGAAGCAGAAGTATGATCCTTGGGGGTTGTTCTACGCGCCCACGGCGGTGGGGAGTGAGGACTGGCATGTTACTGGTCAGATTGAGTACTATCCGACAGCGAATGGGAAGTTGTGTCTGTCGGCCTGATCTGGGAATATTTGGTGAGGACAACGAGTGTAGCACGCAGTTTTCCTCAAACAACGTACATATGCAGATGTTTGAAGGTCAACTATTTGCAGCATTGGAGCTCTAAAACGCTGGGTGAGCATGCAGGTCCGCCCCTTGTTTTACACACTTCTACGAGGCAGATTTCTGTGCCCGGAAATGTTTTGTCTCGAAACGTGTAAATGACAATCATTCTACACAAGGATGAAGATGGTTATTCTGGAAGCTACCATTGTGGCGGTGAGGTCTGGTCTAGTGCGGGAAGGGAAACATTTTGTGTCTGCACAGCCATCCGGACTGGCTTTCATCCGGAGTGAAGTGTCAGGATCATTCCGGCCGGGACAGGTGGACTTAGAACACCAGGGGAGCGGGAGAGTCACGTCAAACGTTTCAAAACAACCAATAGTTACATTGAAGGGTATATCATCGTATCATGACTCGGGACTGGCCGAGGCGCACGAGCAAGCACGAGCGGGCATCTGCAATATGCAGGAGAGCCGCGGTGTGCTGGTGTCAGGACTTCCGCTTTGCGCTCCTGTCTCTCGACCGACCGCGCAGGCCAAACGTGCCCTCGCTCAGCCTGTCGAAGCTGTCAATCTTGGGCAGCCGCCTGGCGGCGCCCTCGAGGTCAAAGTAGTAGTCATCCTTGCGGTCGCCCGGGAAGGACGCAAACGATGCCATCGAAGACGGCCGTGAGTATGTCAGGTGGGGCACAGTCAAGCTGCCCTGGAAGAAGTGATCCCACTCCTCGGAGGGGGGCCTGCGTGACGACGATGGTGCGCCGCCCCATGCCGAACGGGACCTCGAGCGCGACGAGGACCTGCTCGTGGTCGAGGACCGCGCCGCCCGGGAGAGCATCCTTGATACCCTCGATACCCAGCTCCCATGTCTTGAGGGTGTGCTGTCGTCTAGTTCGGCGCCGGGTACTTTGACCTGGCGGTTGTTGTCTTGCCCTTGCCTGAAGATCGGGATCCTGATCCCACCTTCATTCTCTGGTGGACTCCAACCGCGTGGAAGTGTTAATCTTCCCAGGGGTGGGCTCGATCGTATTTCTGGTGGGAGGCTCAGCCTTGGTGGTGGCGAGTCTGGAGTGCTTGACCGCGATGTATTCGCAGTTCGCTGCTGCTCGTATGGCTCCTCCTCGTCGTAGTCATCGCTTCCCCTGGTTCCAATCCATACCCCGACGCCCACCGCCTTCAAGCCCTTGCGCCTCCTATTCGTAGAAACTCTCCAACCCCTCCCGTGGCGCCCTTTGAAACAAGCATAGATGAAGAATGAGATTGCGAGTAGAGATAACAAGGTTGAAAGAACTATGGCGGCAATGCTGGTTGAACTTTGTCCCTTGCTATCTATAGTGTTGGCGTTGGAGGGCAGCACGGTAGCAGTGCTTGAGGCGTTTGAAAGAGTAGTCATGTTGGACGGCGCAGCTGGTGAGCCCACTCTGCTCGTCTCGGAGATGGTAGGTGACGGCGTGCCTACGAATGGCGGTGGTGTAGGCGATGGGATCATCGTGAACCGACCAAAGGTCGCCGTCGCCGATATCGAGCCTGCTGGCCCCGCCGATGCTGAGGCCGAAACTGATGCTCGTGCAGGAAGGCCGGCCAAGGTCAGGCCTGGAGTCAAAGGATGAGTCTCGAGTATAGAGAGATCAGACTCTTGAAAGCGAATCTGAAGGGCTGGCCCAACAGTGAAGAGAGGGGGTCCTGCCTCTTTTGTCGCCCCCCAGACACCGCCCCGGAAGTCCGTTGTGTCCGTTGTGCAAGTGAAGCCACTGTGTAGGAGGCTCAGTCAGACAAGGCATCCATGAATCCCGGGGAGGCGGTGTTGAAGCAGAGCGTACAGCAAAAGGTTCCGTGCTCACCTGGGGACGCAGTAAGCGGCGGTCTCGTCTGGTTCGACAACAGGGAAACCCTCAGCCGTCCTTGTTTCTGTGACCTGACACCCTGGCCCGACCTCGAACCCACTTGGACATATTGCAGGCGAGTAATACTGAAAGCCCTTGTCTGCGATATTCGACGCCCAGAATGGAGGATCACAGAATGCTGGTCCCCCGGTTGGGAAAGGAGGGAACTGGGACGGATCTTTGGAGGATGTCAAGAGCCACGAGGTGGAGCATGACGGCGTGAAGATGGTGGTCAGGGGAGCAAGAGGAGCCGTGATGGTGGCAGCCATATTGAGAGGCTGTAAGCCATAAGTGAGCTCTCACAGGTCCTCGCGAGCACCACCACTAACACGCGGCTGATCACACCAGACGGAGGATCTACAACGGCTGATTACTCGGTTGAGAGCCACCGAGATCGACGGGAGCGGGAGACAGGACCAGGAGACAGGACCAGGACGAGGGCCACCGGGCCATCTTATTCACTGGCCAGACGACAACGACAAGCCCAGGGGCCCGCCATTGGCATCGTGGGTAGATTTAAGCTTGTTCAGGAGCCGAAGATCTCTCTCGATCCCCGACCCCTCCTCCCAACGATGGCGTAGCACCGACAAGCTGTCAGCGTGGTGTTAGAGTACGAACCCCGGCAGCGATCAAACCCTATAGTAGAGACGTTGGTTCCTCGCACTGAGTCGTTCCCTGACGGGATGAATCCAGCCATTCTGGCTGGTGAGCAGGCCCGGGCCCAGATAACGAGCGCGAACAAATGGGCCAAACATGGGATGGGTGGCTTTTGCCCAGCGGTGATACCTCGTTGTGGGCGCCCCAAACACCAGATAAAACGTCCAGCCCGCGGGTCCCCTGATGTTCCGCGATCCTCCTCGCGCGACGACCCCGCATGGCTCCCTCACGATGGCTGCACCATTGGCCGCCAGAGACCCACGGCCGATGGAAAGCTGGCTGTAAGCGAATTTCATCTGAAGTCTCCTGGAACAGACAGAATCGGGATGACGCTGCCTGGAGATAAGATGTCACCCATCTCGACCACTGGACGAGGGAAGCTTGGAGAGACATTGGCTCTTGTTCGGGCGAGTCTTGTCCCGTCCTCCCGACGCTCAGACTCCTTTTTGACAGAAGTGCAGCTGTTGGTTACACTGCCCTAGCCGTGTTTCTGACATGGAGTCCAACTCCCACCCACACCACCACCAGACCTGGAAACCTCATGGCCAAACCTTTCGAGACTGAAACAATCTTTGTGCTTGCGGGTATGTTCTGTCAAAACCCTTCGGTGTGACGACCGATTCATTGGGTTCCAATCACACTGCCCACCCGTCGCCAATACTGTCACAACCCACCAACCTGGTAAGCATATTGGTCGAGTACCATCATCAAGGTGTCACCTAGATCTTGTCAAGCTAAGGAGTGGTGGGTGTCATCATAAATGATTTACGAGTTTCTCGCTGGACGCAACCATGAGCCCGTGTCGTCGGCACTACTCCCTCTGCCTAGGTGACACTAGATCTATCAAGTGCCGTCGAGTAAAAACCATGATGATGTTGCCCACCATCAGAGTTTACGCGAGACCGAAATCGGGTTCTTGTCGAGAATCCTGTTTGGGTCATTCGGCACATGACAAGCCCCCACGGTGACGTTTCTGCGCCGCCGGGCAAAATTCTGTTGGGCTGAGAACCCGCCGAGGCTGAGGCTCTCCCGGGCCGTCGGCGAGAATAGCGCGGCCAGCCCGCATGTGCAGCTCTCCTTGTTGGGCGCCAGTACGGCGGGATTGGTCACGAATCATGGACTCCAAAGCGAACATCCTGGTGCCGTTTCCTGAGTACCGTGGTCGTTGTGCCCGGCGCATGTGGTCCGGGGGTAGTAGGCTGTTCCCACGAAGAAGACCACAAGCGAACTATTGTCCCCGGCGCTAAATCCCAGCTTCCAAGGTTTCTGTCTCGATTGAGGATAATCTTTTTCGCAGTGGAAGTCTTTGTGGCAAGAGGCTACTGCGAAGCTTTCGCCTCCAAAGTTTCCGCTTCGCGCCCCAACCTAGGTGCTTTGGCATACTTGCCACTTTCAATCTCATAGTGCCAACCAGTCGGAAGCCGCCCATCCCAAGATCGACCTCGTCGCTTGCTAAGCTGAGTGGTCAAAGCATTGAATCTTGCCCAAGTGGAGACCCTACAGTCAACGACTTCCTGTTACGGTTCCAAACCTAGGTATGCAAGTGAGGATGGCTCGGGACCTCGGGATGGTGTCTTCGTTAGAACGTGATGCGGCAGAACATGGCCCAAGTCCTGCAGGTCCTTTGGCACCTTTCAGCTCGGATTGAGAGCACTTGTTCTCGGAAGCCGAATTTGTCCATTTCTTTGAAGTTCAACGTACGCTATGGCCGTCCTCTCTTCCATGCACGATTTGGAGTATTATCTGGGGACAAGCACGGCGACTGTCGCCTTGTGTAGTGACGGCGGATACTTAGCAACGTGATATGCTAGCCTAGTTTGAAATACCTGGAAGACGAGGTCTCACGAGCTAAAGGTTAGGTATCTAAGCCGGGAACGACTGAAAGAGACAGCCTATGAATCCTAGGAGGCCGCCAATTTTGCTAGTGGAGTAAACCAAAACGTCATTTCTGGATTGTGGGATTATTGCATCTAGATGAGTGGCAACAACATGAAGTCATCCCGTAGTATCCGTTTGATGTTATGATAATGAAACTTGGAAGTTACCAGCGGGTGTGTAAGGGGCATGCATTGCAAGACCATATATGAACATTAGGTCACATACTGAACTTGAGAACGATTCTAGCAGAGTAGATTCTATTGGAACTATCGTCACATAATAGTACACTATCATATTATCAATAGAGAAGACATGGTACGAAATCCTTGCCACCAAGAGATTGTGTGCTGGGAATTTCACCCAGCTGTGAGAATACTGTAGGAACTTCTTCTCAATCCATCATTAAGCCGAAACTTACGTCTAAGGTATCAGAAACGAACTCGTCAACCTGGTATCACTGAGTTATCCCCGGGTATCGCAAATACAGACATGATATCGAAACAGAGAAACATAGGAAAAGTGAGGAATTCGACTGGGTAAATGTAACCTAGGGCATGACAGCCTCGAGGTGAGAAGAGTGAGCGTTTACTTTTGACCGTTAGTCTTAGCGATCTCCTTGTTCTTCTCGACCTCCGCGGCTTGGTTGTTCAGACGGCCGAATTGCCACTCGGGAAGAGTGATGCCGGTCTGCTCGTTGATGGTCTGCATCAGAGGCGGCAGCATCTGGTAGACATCTAAACTCAAGGTCAGTATTCTTCTTTTCCTAGTTCAACTTGGCATAACCCACAAGGAGCTCTATGTGTACTTACTGCGCATGGTATCAACGCTGCTCGACGAGCCAGCCTCGCCACCGGCCTGGGACCCAGTGTTCCAGACGCTGATCTTGGGCTGCATGCCGCGGACGGCGTTGGCGTTGGCGTGGGCCAGCTCCACGTATGTTCCCTTCTCGATCATCATGTACTGCAGGAGACCGGCCGGGCCTCCGAAGGCCTGAGCCATCTGGCCATAGGCCGACGCCATGGCCGCCAGACCCTCTGCCTCCTTCATCTGCACCTGCAGCTTGGCCTCGGCCTCCTTGAGCTTGGCATAGTTCGCAGCGTCGGCTCCGGTGCGCGTCTTGTACGCATCGGCGTCGGTGGTCTGGTTCGTCTTGGTCAGCTGCGCCGAGGCGTCGACCTGGACCTCGTAGGCGCGAGCATCCGCGGCCTGCTGCTTGGCCTCACGCTCGATGGAGGCCTTGACGACGTCGATGGCACGAAGACGCTCCATCTCGGCCGCGGCCCTCTTGATCTCAACCTCGCGCTTGAGCTCCGCGTCGCGGGACTCGGTGGCGCGCTGTGCCGTGATCTTGGCAATGTCCAGGTCGCGCTTGAGCGTCGTCTTGCGCGTGTCGAGGCTGACCTCTGCCTGCGCACGCTCTCCATCCCGCTCCGTCTTCTGCACGGCCGTCTCGGCGCTGATCTTGGCCAGCTCCCGCTCCTGCCGACCCTTGCGGTCCGCCTCGCCGACGGAACCCTTCTGCTGGGCCTCGGCGACGTCGATACGCGCCTGGTTGATGGCGCCCTCGTGCGCCTTGCGGGAGAGCGACTCGAAGTAGTTCGAGTTGGGCGCATCGCGCAGCTCCTTGACGTTGGCGTTGTAGATCTTGAGGCCGAACTGGTCCAGCTCGCTCTGGATGTTGCGGAAGATGCGGCGCTTGAACTCCTCGCGCTCCGTGAAGATCTCCTCCATCGTCATGGACGACACCAGGACTCGGACCTCGCCCTCAATAATGCCCTTGACGATGTTCTCCAGGAAGGCCGTCGTGTTCTTGCCCTTTGCGTTTGTGTCTGTGAGCAGCATGGCGTACTTCATGAGGCTGTCGCCCCGGTCCTCCTGGCTGTGGGCACGGTTGTTCTCAACCCTAGTTTTGGCATTTGCACCGCGGGAGTTGACATCTGGACCGACAGTGAAAACGACCGGGAGAAGGAACTGCAGCTTCTCCTTGGTCATGGCCTGCAAGTTCATTGCATAATCGTGAGGTTGCACACTAGGCAGACCTGTTAGCACATTCGACTTTGTGGTGGCTTCGGCGTGAAGTGTTTTGCTTACCTGAACCTCGTGCATCTCTGAAATGGGTAGATCCATGCTGACTTCGAGATCTTGACCGACTCGATACCCATGCCGGTCAAGGCAAGGTACTCGTCGGGTGCAGCGACCCTGTACGCGGGAAGTGGTGCCATTGTTGCGATGTGGGTGGTGTGTTACTGCTGGAGTGTGATATGAAGATCTCTTGATAGGAGCGAAACGGATTCCGTTGAGTTTTGTGCACTCTCGTAAAACAAACTCTGAAGATATGAGTCCCGTAGCAGTGTTGGGTATATATATGTGTGTGTGTGTGTTCTAGAAAAGCTCTAGAAGCATGTAACAGGTATTAGTCGGACTGGTCGTGGTTAAGTCCAAACGGTCTGTGGCTTGGTGATGCTAGTTGATATAGTGTATTGGTCGACTTGTCAGGGCAACTCGAGTGCTTTGATAATATTTATTGGTATAATATCTTATGAGCCAATATTGTTCATGATGCCTCAACCTGTGTGGGATGCGAAGCCGTATTATATATAATGGCTAGATTCTCCCAAGCCTTTCTCGGATGACTGCAGGGACAACACTCGCATCTTTGTTGTTCTGCCTCACGGCCTTGCTCCTCCAGCCATTCGGCCCTTGGCACGGCGCTCTCCCAAGGTTGCTTGCCTGTTCTACATACGACCCGCTTTGGGCCGACCCGGAACCGACGACTATTAGGCAGTGTAAGACGGCTTCGCCCCGCGCAGGTGACTTCCTGCGCCCGGTCTCTTTGTGTGTGGCTGTGATTATGGAGTAATCACTGGAAGAATGGAGAAGCACCATCTAGTGAGAAGCGGTCGAATGTTGGTTCGGTGCCCGGATGTAGTAGCGAGGCCCTGCCCCAGGGTGGCCAAGTGTCAGATGCCAATCCCCAGATCTTGGCATCGAAAGCCACGTACCAGAACGGGGAGTCTATCGAACGATCTCTCGCCTTTTGGGAGGTTGGAACTTTTCCAAACAAAGGGAACCGGACTGTCGGCTCCTTTGCTGAGCCAACCAGAAATCGGCAATGAAGTCATGCTGAAGGAATGCAGGCAATATTCCGCTCAAATGCCGCAGTCCATTGTAAGGATTCTCGCGTCGCGAAAGAACGGGGCAGTGCACATTCGTGAATCTGGCTGCCTTGCGGTTTGCATCACGGTCCGCCCAAGACATGTGTGCAGGCATTAAATCCTACCCGGCCGGGATAAGTCTGGCAAAAATGCTATTCGATGTGCCCTGCTACATGATTTCTTGAACACGCGAGTTGGGCATCAATACTCTCTGCCAGAACGTGTGGAATTGTTTCCGTCGGATTGGCCTATTGCCACTTGAAGCGCACAGCCACCCGACTCATCCCGCCTATGTCTTTCGGACTCACGCCAGGTCGAAATGGCGGCTTCTAGCGCCACTGCCAGGCACACTCCAGGGTTCCACGTGCCTTGGCTGCTTTGACATTTCCTTGGCTTGGGCTTACACTGGGGACGTCACGTTGATGCCGTCGTTCAAATATCGCAACTCACTCAGCCCAACGCTACCTACCAGAGCGACAGCCAGGGCATACCCCAGTGACCAGACTCGCAGCCTGCTTCGTTCTCACAAATTAGTTTGATCCGTACGATTCATTGACGTTGTCGGAATGAGACCTACCAGATTTTGTCACACACACTCAGGCATCGATCTTCCGAGTCCGCAATAGCTCATATTTCTGCCTGAGAACAACTCAAGGTTAGAGACAGACCCCAAATATCACAGACGAATATGCCTCCCAAGACACGTGAGGACCACTCCGAGGGTCAAGGAGAACCATCATATGCCCCTCCGCCTTCTTATACCGAGGCCACAGTACCGGCCGGACCACAATCTCGGCCACCGACGTACAATGAAAAGCCCGCAGCAGATCCAATAGACGAGCTCGTCAGTCGCCTCCCTTCCCTGGTCCGGGAGAGGCAGCAGTCGCAGGCAAGCCAGCGATTCACCGAGGATGATGCTCTCATGCAACACATGCTGCCTTTCGTCAGGGACTTCTTCCTCGACTTCTCCATGGACAACAACGTGAAGAGGCACCGGAACTCACACAAGTCACTCTCAATGGAGCTGATGCTGGTCCCACAAGACGCGGCACGGAGTGACGAGGGGTGGCAACTCGCCGGACTGAACGAGAGAAAGGAACAGACTGCGTTTTTCCGGCTGAGCGAGATCGCCGCACCGGGTCAGCTCAGATGGGTGTCCAAGAACGGCGAGTCTTTGCAGATCCGCGACGACGCGGCAGATACGGATTTACTATGGTGGCGTGACGAAGAGCACGCTCTCCGACTGGCCTCGGCTCTCCGGAGCGTTGTAACACCTGAGCGGTCCGAGAAGAGCGAGACGACGCGTCATGTGGAGATTGACGAGCAAGAACCACCCGAGCAGTCTGACAGCAAACGCAAGTCTCCGATGCGGTCTCTGTTCGGGCTTTCTAAGAAATCTCAACCACCAGCCGAACGTTCCGTTCCCAAGGTACAGAACAAGAATTTTGCGACAGTTTCCTTGGGGAGTGTACAGGTACATGGGGAAGCCGAGGAAGTTACCTTTCGAAGAGAAAATGATTTTGGACTGTGGGAGAGCTCCTCGGGCTGGGCGATTGTCATCAAAGCAACGGTGCTATACTGAAACCCCCTCTATTTGACTACAGAGGGTTCTACAAGATAGTTAAAATTCGAGCCAATTTTGGTACCAAATGCCTCAGTCTTGATGATCTTTACGAATAAATTTGTACAATGTGGATGTGAAATTGTGCTTCTGAATTACTTCAATGTTGGGAATTGCCAATCATCGAGAACGAACCTTATGTCTGTGCGTGGTAGTATCTGTGTACCTAGATTCTGTATGTAAAAGTCTAGACTAATTACTAGTTCTGTCTATAGTAATGCCAGTCTCCAGTACGCCTTGCTGCGCCACCCAGAAGCCCAATGCCAGAATCCAACCCAAGCAGCCAGCCACCTTTCCCCCTGAGCCCTTGAAACAAATCCTTGCGCAAACACCAAGAAAAGCAAGTCATCCCTCAACGCCTCCCCATTCACAAGCTCCTCATACGGGGAAGGCCTCGTCTCCACTCAATAACCACATAGCCCTACCGGCAATCAGCTCCCCGCGCAGCCAAAGAACCCATCTCCATCCGGGACGCGCCCACCTCCTCGCGCGCATACCTCTCAGCCTCGACCAGCACAGCCCTCCCGATCCCGCCGTCCTGCATCCTGGGGCTAACGGCGAACAGGCCAAAGTACGACAGCTTGCTGGGCGGCGGGTGATGTGACAAGGAGGGCTGCGCTGCCCGGCGCTCTTGTCTTGGCTAGCAGGCCGGCGGCGTCGATGCGGTGGTCTGCGACGAGGTCTGCCTCAGCCATCCACCCCTGGCGGCTGGATTCGCGCGCGGTATGCTGACTTTACAAGTGGCTAGCAGCGCGCGGTGTGGTTGGGCGTGGCTTTGCGGAAGGTGAGCGGTGGCGGCGAGGCAGGCCGCATAGTAGTTTTTCTCTCTACTTTACACGACTATAATCTAGAGGACCCCGGGCCTAGCGTATGGTTGAAGGGCTTTCTATTGTGAGGTTGTGGTTGCGGGCGAATAATGACCTAAAGCAGATCAGTGTCCTCTATGCAGCCTGAGGATCGTGAGCAGATATCCAATTACTGCCATAGTTCTAAACAACTCTGAGCGACTCGTCTCGGTAGTGGTCGCCGTCGCGATTCCTGCGCCAAACCAGCAACGTTGCGCAAGTGCGCACCTGTCGCCAGAAAACAACCACGGCAATGCGGTGGCTAGAGTCATCCGTCTGTTCGGCGGCACCGGGGCAGTAGCCGGAGCTCTGGACCGGTGGGGGGGATCCCTCCTTTTAGTGTTCGAGTCGTTGTAGCTGGGCCAAGAATACCCGCACAGCAGAGAAACGAGGCGAGAATAGCATCACCCTACAAGATTTTCGCATCACTTATTGTTACTACATAGCCCATGCCTTCGTGGTACAATACAGCATGCCACTAATAAGGTTTCGATGGTACTGGTACATCCGCTGAACTTGAGCGAATGGAACTTTTCCAATGCCTGGTACGCCTACGCTCGATGTGCCGGGCTGTGCTGTGCAATGCTAGATTCCAAAATAAGTCCGACGTCAGCAGCCCTCGGGGAACCTTGTCCGTTAACCAAACCGGATCCCGGCACTGGGCTCCCATTTCCCGCCGACCGGTCCATTGCCACCTCCCGCCTGTCCCCCCTGACCACCAGCGCCTGCCCCGGGCGACTGCGCGAACTTGATGCCCATCTCGGGATTCCACATACCTTGCAGCGGCTGCATCGATTGCCGAGGCTGCGGCTGCTCCGGCGGTTGGGCGTTGTCGTCCCGCGCCCAGGACTGAACCTGTGGCTCGGGCGGAGGTGACATTGGCGCCATCGGGGCAGGTGCATTTTGGTAGTAGTGCTGCGGAGGGCTTTGAGAAGCCTGATAACTGGGTTGGGGTGCAAGCTGGTGTGTACCCAGGGAAAGAGAGGATAGAGGTGGCATGCCGATGTCCCTGGGATGTGTCAGAAGTCTAGTCCAGGCTGTTTTTGGGGTTGATAGTTGTGAACTTACTCTTCGAGCCCTCGAGACTCTTTTCGTCTCTCACCTACCCAGTCCCGGCACCGGTCTCTGAAGGAGCCAGCAATCTTGCTAAGATCGTTGTAGAACTTCCTCCCCGTCTCCACGTTGCCAACGATCTCCTTGTACTTGTAATATGCGTTGTCCAGAGCCTGCAGCGCGGCCTCCCGCTCCTTGGATCCTCGGTCGCCCGCGCTCTTCTTCTGAGCTTCAAACTCTCGATTCGCGCGCGTCACCTCGGCCAAGAACTTTTCTTGCTCCGCAGCCTCCTTCTCGATCTGGGCCAGATCCGCCTCGTACATGCTGTCGAGCCTCTTCTCGAAGAATTCCTCGAAATGTGCTGGTACGATCTGTGTGTTGGGGTACGTGCGCTCCAGCCTTGCTGCCTCTTTCATGATGTCCGGTTTGATGTCATCAGCCTTGGCTTTCTCGCGGAGAGCTTCGGCACGGCGACGTCGTCGTGATTCGAGGCGCTGGATGTCGTTGTAAGCACCACGGAGTCGGCCAAGGGCGATCTTGACGTTCTCGTGGATTTCTGGCTTGCGACTCTGCGGTATTGCGTCCATCAGGGCGCGGTCGGACCCGGCCAGAATGGACAGTGTGCTTTCGACTCCCAGCCACTTCTCACGGACAACTGCATCGATTGACGTGCTCGAGCTAAAGTAGCCTTCGATGCTGGCCACCTGCTCCCAAAGCTTGGCGCCTCTAGGATCCTCTTTGCTGGGCGGCCTCGTCCACCGCTGCGTCCCATACTTGGCCCGCAGACGTTGATCCTCGTCCTCCTCGGTGGAGAGAAGAGACCTTCCTTCGTCGAATATTGCGCGGTCACTTGATCTCAGCTTATCGATGTCGGCAAAGCTCTGCTGCACCCTGCTCAACGCGTCTGCCTGCCTGATTTCCTCGGCGTGCTGTACCAATGTTCCGGGCAGGCCAAGCGGCTTCTCCAGGGCCTGCAACGATCCGGGAAGATTCAGCGACGACAGTATTTCGTGCAGCTTCTCGTTCAATGCCTCAAGGTCTTGTATTATGTTCTGATTGACCAGACGATCTCTCCTCTCCTCGTATATTGACAAGGCAACATGGACGGAGTAGGGTACCAGCTTGCTAAAGAGGGGAGTTCCGAAGTCAGTGTGATCGCCGAGGTACTCGGTGGGGTTGGCAACTTCTGGGGGGACCCGAGCCACGGCCATATTGGCGCGTTCGAGAACCTTGAGCTCGGTCTTGGCGGGAACATGATCTGAGATGGTCAGTGGCGCCTAGAGTGGGTTTAGGGGAACAATATTTAAACTCACGCAGATAAATCATGTCGTTGTCCTTCTCTGCGCGTTTTAGGTCGTCCTCGACCCTCCTCTTCAAGCCATTGAGGTCGTCCATGACAGCCTTGTTCAGGTAGCCTCCCTTGCCCTCCTTCAAGCCCTCGTTCGCACAAACAACAGCGTCGGTCAGACGGGCCACCTCTTCTCCGTATTTCCTCTTCTCCAGGCAGTCACACGCAGCGCGGTACTGGGCGGCGGCGGCGAAGTGATGGTGTTTGGCGCTCACGTGGTGGATCCAGGAACTGCTGATGGACTCGCTGTTCATGGCGGCCTCTCCAGCCAGATTGTACAAGTCACTGACACGGGCGGCAACCTTTGAGATGGAGGCATCCTTGTAGCCGTCTATCACGGCCTTCTGCCAGAAGCACTCCTGGCTCTGGGCTAGCTGCAGCTGGATGAGGGACTCGAGGGTGCTCTCGTCCAGGTCCTCGGGGGGCGTGGGCATGCGCAGCTCGGGGAGCACGGCATCCTTCATGTGCTTGAAGACGCCGGCAGCCTGGCTGAAGTAGTTGGCAGCGGTCTTGAGCCCGTCGGTGTTGGCGCGGTTGGAGGCGAGGGCCAGCTGGGAATACAGCACGGCGAGGTTGAAGAGGACGCTCATGAGCTCGAACTTGAGGTTGTTGTGCACGACGGGCCGGTCGGTGTTGTAGCCCAGGGCGGGATACCAGGTGAAGTCTGCGCCTATGTCGATGGGGAACTTGCCCGAGATCCAGACGAGCTGGGCGGCGTAGGCCTGCAGCTTCTTGATGCCGCTGGGGTGGGCCTCCCGCACGTTGGTGGCATCCCTGCGCAGGGCGTCGACGACCTCGAGGTCATGACGGAACATGTCAGGGTGCTGGTCATATTTCTTGGAGATGTACTGGCGGATGGCGGCCGAGAGCGACAGGTGGTTGGACTTGCGGAAGGGAATCGACAGCTGGTTTGCACTGGGGCTCGCCATGGCGGAGCATTAGCCTGGGAACTGTAGCCTGGGCGTCTGATACGGAAGCAGTGCCAGACCTACGACGACATTGTGGGCAAGGCAGGATCAACCAAGGCCTATGCAATGCGACGCGATGCACGGGAATGCGTCTTCAGCGGTTGGCGGCACCCGAGGGGAAGGCGCATGACCTCATCTGTCGAGCAGACGAAAGGTCCAGCAGCCTGCCAAGCTCCACACGCTGCTGCTGCTGCTGCTCCTGCTCCTGCTCTTGGTGGGGGCTTACATAAGGAGCCCGTTCTGCCTGGGAGCTCTCGAATCGCCATTTGGGCCACACTTTGCCAAGACATCTGGACCACAGGGGGTCTGGGGGTCCTCCTTTTCCAGCCAGGGTTAGGGTTATATCATCGACAAGACAGGCTGCAACGGCCCTCGTCCTTATTAGTTCCACTCCGGACCTGAACAAGGCTCGATGGAAACCGCCAGTCAACAGCCATCCAACCACGCTGGCGGCACAACGGGCAGACCAGTACTCCGTAACGGTACTGATACATGCTCCCACTTCCAAAGCCTCTTCCGCCCTGCAGGAAGGTTGTGGCTGGTTTGACAAGACTAGTGAAGCTGGTCTAGATGCTGCACCGAGTTCGATCACAGACGGCTTGCTGGCGTGCCAACAATCGAGGCCAGCACGTGCGGCGGTAGTCGATGCCCCGTCTCACATGGTCTGCTGGGCAAAGGAAAAAAACGGGTAGCTCCATGGTTAGCCAGATGCTGAAACTATGGTATGTAAAAATTCTTTGTTGCGTAACATTCAACACGGCTCGACGTTCGTGGGCGGCCGTGCTTTGGTGTAGAGGAGACGACTTCAAACTGCAGCAGTGCAGTGCGCCGCATCTACTCCGTATTTCGGCCCTCCCGAACTGCCCATGTGACGTTCTAGGCTCACAACGCTTCGACAGGCACAGTCAATCCGCAGGATATGTGCTTTGATACCCGGCGCAAGCAGCGGACCCAGGAATTGACCCAGAAACTGCAGGAACTGGGCCACCGCTCAGGAATTACATGCCCACGACTTGCAGTGCTGGCTGCTTGCTTGTTGGGCAAGCCTGCAACTGCGGTTTTGCTGACAACTTTGGACTTTCAGGTCTCGTCGACTTGGCTCATACGACTGACTCCAGTGCCTTGGATGGGCCTTCTACACTACCTAGGTACTACTGAATACCTAGCTTCGGATGGGTACCGCGGAGGCGCCCTAATGCACGGCTCGGGATATGCCATCCCTGACTCTTAGTTAGACCGAGACACGGCTGGGGGGCCCGGTCCAAGGAGCCCTCCCGAATGGAAAACCAGGCCAGGTTAACTACTTGACTACGTTATTCAACACATTTGCGGCGGCCAAACAACTGGGGCTCTACCGCACCCCATCTTGCTGCTGAGCTGTTCGTTCTGATATCCGTGGACCGAGAAACTTCCCAAACACTACGTCATGACGATGGCCTCAGACGACGGCCTCAGCTGCACCTTGTGGGGCGTGCCCGGTGTGATAAATGCCTCCCAGCACTTTAAAGTGCCTTGCAACAGGCAATTACTCGGCTCATTGCCCGTTGGGTGATCAAAGCGGCGGCCGCTCTCAGACAGACTGGCCGCAAAAGTGGCGCTTCGCGGCTTACAGACGTCTATGCGGCGTCGGCCCTCCCTTGATCCGACTGCTCGGGCATGGTGCCTTAGTTCGCGACTGCCGGGCCAGACACTGCGCGTACGCAAAATTCAAGTCATCCTGCGGATTTACGGTATAATGTATTGTTTGAAGCCGGGTCGGAACGGGGGTTGTCGATCTGGCGTAACCTTATACCACAGTACCTAGGGCTTGAGGCGTGTTTTATTGCCCGCGCAGCTGAACCGCTGAGCCCTACACCCTTTGCTGACACGCAGCGGACATCCCCACCTTCTCCCCATACCCAGATCTCCGGTTCCAATCATCAGTGCGGCTGGTACATGCCTGCAATCCCACCCGGGCTCATTGTCAGCCTCACCTCTCAGTTGGCCAGGCCCCATCCCAACAGCAGGTGGTTCGTGCCAAGCTCAGGTGACAGATCGGACGGACAAGCTGGGCCGCCAAGTCCTAGGGCTGTACAAAGCACGCACTACTCACAGCTCGGCTGTGTCTTGCCGTGGAAAGCATGGAGGTTACGGGTCGTCAGTCGTTGGAAGAGCTGCCATGACCAGGGGCGGATTTCCTTGTACCCCCCAGGCGTGCCAGGGTCCTTCACCCGAATCCTCCAAGGGCGGGCGGGTCGGCCTTCGGTGGTGTCTTTACACGACCCGTTCGTTGGTTCAAACAGAAATGTGAGGAATAAGCGGCCGCATCGACCTGCATCCTTGTCGACGATGTTCCCCCAAGTCTTGCCCGCGCCGCAAGCTGCAGCTAGGTCAGGCAGCACCATCGAAAAGGGGCCCGGGTCCAATGGATATGGGACCACGCCGCTGGGAAGCGTCTTGTTTCACTACCATGCGCCGTGCGAGTACTATCTGGGTACTGCCAATGGTCTAGATCTCGGGACCGACAAGAAGTTGCATAAGTAGAGCGCGTCTGCACGGCGCGGATGAGCACCCCATATTTACCCGATCCTTTCTGCTCCTTTCAGCGTTGATGTCCGCTCCCTAGGTATCCCAAACCCCTTCTTCATATTGCGAGCCAGTCCTCCGCCATGGCTTTTGATCTTCCCTTTATCATATTGTATCTGGCTATACCAAGCCTTCTCTTGTCCGCTGTACAGCAAGTTCTACAATGGAGGAACAAGAAGGAACCCAAGTTCCCCGGCCCAACACAGTTTCCCCTCGTGGGAAGGATCCATGACCTACCCAGGTTTTCCATGTGGAAAAAGTTCAAAGAGTGGGCAGACATATACGGCCCCATCTACCAGACAAGTGTCCCCGGCTCGACTTTCATCATTATCTCCGATGAGCAGATCGCAGAAGAACTTCTCGTCAAGAGGGGTCATATCTACTCGGGACGTCCGCAGATCAGAGCGCTATTCGATCACAAAACGGGCATTGAGTACCTCGCGTTGATGGACCGCCAGGGTAAGCCAGTCCAGGACTGAGTGGCCCTTTTTGGTAAAGAAGAAGTCTGACATCTCTGGGTACCCACCATAGATCACTGGCAGAAGCAGCGAAAATGGGTCCACGCCGCTATGGCCGAGGCCTACAAGCATCAGTTCTACGGGCATGTCGAGCAAGAAACTCAGCGGTACCTGATGATGCTCATGTCGGACCCAGTCCGGTTCATCGATCACTCACGCGAGCACTGTGGCCGTATCATGTCGCGGCTGGCCTGGGACGAGGCCTCGCAGGGCAAGTGGAACGGCGAGAGTGCCAACGACACGTTGCACAACATGTCAGTCTCGGGCCCCATCGTCAACACGGTCACGCCGCTGTGGGAGATTCCTGAGGCGCTGAACCCGTGGAAAAAATATGAGAGGCAGAGGATGGGGGCACAGAAGGCCTGGTGGACGAGTAACTACAGGGTCGCCAAGGAAAAGTATAAGAAAGGCCAACTGCCCAAAGACACGTGGGCATACCGCTACATCGAACAGGTCGAGCGAGAGCAGAAGGGCAGCCTGGAGCAGACCGAGGAGCAAGAGAACTTCGCGGCGTGCACCATAGGGTTCTTCAACCTGGTTGGTGTGGTCACCATTGCGGGGCCGCTCAAGACCTTCCTTCTGGCCATGACGCTGCACCCCGAGTGGCAGAAGAAAGCCCAGGACGAGATCGAGCGGGTCTGTGGTGACCGACAGCCCAATTTCGATGACTTTGCAGATCTGCCTACCGTAAGGGCTGTTCTCAAGGAGACCATAAGATGGCGTTCAGGAGTTCCGCTGGGTAAGTTATCTGGTCGCTCGTTCATGATACTCCCTCATCAGATGCTTGCGCCAGCATGGTGGCTGACATGATGGTTGCATGGTGTAGGTGTGCCCCATCAGGCAGAGAAAGATGATGAGTACCGCGGCGTCAAGATCAAGAAGGGCACAATTATGCTTGCATGCGAATGGTAAGTTGCTCACGTCCACGATTGTCATAGTGCGGAACAACCTGCTCACGTGAACCTCGCCACAGGTCAATCAACCGAGTTCCTGAGAGATACCCAGACCCAGAGAACTTCCGTCCTGACCGGTGGCTCGACCCATCGTTCCCGACGTACCAGGAGCCCCTGACCAAGTACCCCAACTTCCGCGACAGCAAGTTCGGTGCACACAGCTTCGGGTGGGGCCGCCGCAAGTGCCTGGGGATGGACATCGTGGACATTGAGCTCTTCGTCACGGGCGCCTCGGTGCTCTGGGCGTTCAACTTGGAGCAGAAGACGTGCCCGATGACGGGCGAGAAGGTGCCCATCGATGACCAGGCCACCAACAGCCACGTCATCCTAGAGCCGTCGCCGTTCGAGGCGAAGATCACCGTGCGCAACGAGCAGAGGAGACAGGCTATCACCGAAGGTTATGGGAAGGTTGCTGCCAATCTTAAAGTGTACTAGAATTTAGCGTATTGATTTGATTGTGTTGATGGGGCCAGGATGTTTGCGGATTAAGGAGACTGCTTCTTGTAACTGGATTTTGGCCATCAGATTCCGATGAGAGATATCCTGTTAGGCGTTGACGATAGAGCATTTTTGTTATAACATCATCCAAGTACTATGCTATTCTTCGAGTCGAGAACTGTGGTGGGTGACAGCTCAGCGTGGTTCTGCTGAACCGATGAAGTCTTCGCCCATGTGCCCCAAATTCAATGCATTCGGAGGCACATCTCAGTACGTATTGTCGCCGTATCCATCTGTAAACGTTTCCAGCATGTCGCATATTACATTGAACTTCTTGTCTGGTCAGGTTTACTTCACAATGAAGTTACGTCATTAACTGGCTACAAAACAAGGTTGTGATCTTACCACCTCCTGCCCCACCACATCCTCCGTTCGTTTCACTTTTATAGCGGCCGCGAAAATATTGCATGGGGCGATTGTAAAACATCTGGCCTTTGCGTCTCTAGCCAGCGCGCCGTTGGAAGCAATGCCGTCGGGAGCGATGCCTCCTAGCCTTGTCTGTGCGGCACGAGGCCGAGGCCACGTGCATTCTCTCTGTAATGTTGTCACATTGTATTTTTTAAATGCTAGATCTTGAGCGTTGACCACTGCCCCGGTGTATGAAGGCGCCACATACGTTTTATATGTGAGGGGATTAGGAACGAAACCACTTGAATTTAGAGTCTTCCTCTTAGGTGTAGTGCAGCTTTATCAGGGTTGTTGGTCTCATGTCCTCGTGGCTCGGTGCTTCGTCCTTCTTTTTGTGAAAATAATCCTGGTTCAGGAGCTCCGATATTTGCGTCGTATTTGTCTGTGGCCGTCTTTCACCGGCCTCGCATACACAGACAGAACGACCCCGGCCTTCTTTTCTTCAAATGTTTCCAGGATGCTAGCCTCGAATCATCTCAGGATGAACAATTATAGTCGACCACTAGATTATATATCATGATTGAATAATTCGTTAAGCCACTTGAAGTCTTGCCATCGTGTTTCATTCCAATACGATTCTCCCATCTTCTCCAGTCTATTCTCATGCACACTGGTCGGCAACATCGATTCAAAATCGTGCTCAGAAATTAAACAGTGGGACCACGATGGATTTCGGCCCTTTAAAAAAAACCCACCACTAATTTGGGATGGGGGGAAAATACAAATTGAAGCGTAGCATGCGCATCAGGTTAACGCTGACGATGTGTTGATGGAGCGGTTCGGCCATCAACTCCGGCATATCCCGCAGCGGCATCGCGCAGGAGCACATAAACAAAGCCCGACTGACTCATTTTATGCACCTGAGCCGGTATATTTATAAACACGGTCGGCATACTTGTAGAATTGAGTTCGCGAAGCTAACGGCCGCTCCGGACGGGTGCTTCCTGCGAGAACCTATCAAGTACCTAGGTAGTCAGGCGCCAGTGGCAGATATGGAAGCCAAGTCATTGGAGTGCTTTGAGCTTCAAGTGATAAAGGAGGGGCTACATGAAGGAGCAAGATGAAGTCCTCGTCCCCGAAAAGAGCTTTTAGCACATGGATCAAAATGTCCAGATGTCCATGGGACACTTATCAAAGGCAAATTTTGCCGAATTTGAACCACTCGCATGAGGAAAATAGCCAAGCAACTTAATGCGAGTCAACGAGAACCCAACCAAGTACTATGGAGCTACCTCACGCGCGGACGCCGGAGCACATGCATTGTTCGAGTTATTAGGACGTAGGACGGCCGGCTGACGTTGCCTACCTAGGTATCCACTTGTGGACTCGGACTTTTAACAGGCTCGAGGACTCGTTAAGCCACATATGGATGGCAAAAAAATTATTTGCTCTCAACATCTTATGCAGAGAAGAGGATTGAATCTTCAGGAAAAGCCACAGCCGAGCGGCTAGAGTGGTGGATCAAACCAGACGATGGTACATGTTCCGTATCCAGGCGTGGGACAGATGACTAAGTCAGGACGTATCTGGAATAGAAGAAGTCGGGAACCCCCACAGCACCCAAGACATGCCAAGCACGACGCGTTTTTATTCAGGCAGGGCGATGTACCCTGATGGTCAAGCGACGATGGGGTAGATATCCACATCATGACCAGGCGGCCACTCAGGGAGCCCATGATTGCGCGAGATTTTGTTATTGGGGAGCTGGGCAGGACTTCCCGCCTGACTAGGAGGGGGAAATGCAGAAGCGGGTGTTCCTGCATGCAAGTGTAGCATGCCCCTCCCTCGGGCCTTCATATACTTGCGCAGTCTGCTGCGCAGACTCGCCAGTGTGCTTTGGTTCCCGCTGAGGCTGGTAAGACAATTTTGTTTTTGGTGCAGATCCTATCGACGACTGGACGGTTGTATTGGGATCATGGGAGCGAGTAGTTGCGACGCCTCCGGGCACAAGACCGACGGGGTGGCCCGGGTGAAGGCGGTCTTCCTAGGAGACGAGGCGAAGAGCAAGGAGGAACGAAGACTGGTGCAGAAGTTGGGTAAGATGTGCATCCCCATCCGAGATGGGCCGCCGTTCTAGATGCTGATCGATGATGCAGACTGGGTCATCTTGACATATTGCTGCCTCAGCTCCTTCTTCAACTATCTCGACCGGTCCGCCTTTGCGAACGCCTATGTTGCTGGCCTCAGAGAAGACCTTGACCTGCATGGCGCCGACTACAACATCGTCCTCTCCATGTTCACGGCCGGCTCCGTCATTGGCCAGATCCCCCACGGGATCATTATCCAGAAGTTCCCACCCCGGATATGGCTGCCCTCCATGGTCGTCGTCTGGTCTGCCCTGACCATGGCGTGCGCCGCCTGCAAGACGTACGAGCAGCTCTGCGTCGTGCGCTTCTTCCAGGGCTTCGCGGAGGCCAGCACGTACTGCGGCACCATCTACATCATCGGGTCGTGGTACAAGCCCCGCGAGATCGCCAAGCGCACCGCCATCTTCACGGCCTCGGGCCAGGCGGGCACCATGTTCGCCGGCATCATGATGACGGCCATCTACAAGGGGATGCAGAACAACGGCGGCCTGAAGGGGTGGCAGTGGCTCTTTCTGATAAACGGCATCATCACGCTCCCCATCGCGGCCGTGGGCTTCTTCTTCTTCCCCGACACCCCCGAGACGACGCAGGCCAGGTGGCTCAGCGCCGAGGAGCGCGAGCTGGCGCTGCAGCGGCTCCCGCCCAAGAGCAAGGACGGGCACAACATCGACCCCTGGCCGCTGGCGAGGCGCGTCTTTGCCAACCCGGCGCTGTACATCCTGTGCCTGTGGGCCGTCATCACGGGCGCGCTCGAGGCGTACGTGGTGCAGAGCCTGTTCCTGCTGTGGATGAAGTTCCACTCGGACTCGTTCACGCAGGCGCAGATAAACACGTACCCGCTCGGCGTGCAGGCCGTGGGCATCGTCTCCAACTTCCTGGCCGCCGTGCACGTCGATGCCACGGGCAAGAGGGTGCCCATGGGTGTCCTGGCCTGCCTGCTGCAGCTGACCGCGGCTGTCATGTTGATGGTCCCGACGCTGCCTTTCGCAGGCACATTCTTCGCATACTACCTCTCTGGCACGAGTTATATGGTGAACCCAGTGTCGTATGGCTGGGCGAGCATCATCACCCAGCGGGGCGGGGATGACGCCGTAAGGTCTGTTATCTTGTACGCAATGAACGCGTGTTCCACCTGCTTGTACACGTTCTGGGGAATCGCACTGTATCCAGCCTCGGATGCACCATACTGTAAGTCATTTTGACTCAGCATCCCGGCGTGGCCGTGTCATAGCTGACCGTACTATTCAACAGGGAAAAAGGGAAATATTGCCATGATAATCGTGGTGGCGGTGATGCTGGGCGGCCTCTTCGCAGTCAACTGGCTGGACAAACACACGCTGCGAAAGTTCCCCTACGGCGACACGGCCCTGAGAGATATTGTAGGTGTGGGCGACAGCGACGTGGTGGTTGTTCCACATGCGGACGTCGAAAGTGAGAGTGACCAGGAGAAAGGGGTAAAAGACAAGTGCTGAGGCGGTCTGCCTCAGCCAATACCTAGATGAATTTGAGTTAGATGCACAACTTTGAGGATCATTGCACGGCCTGGCGGTCGACAGAACCGCCATCAGCAGTTTTGTGTGGTTTATATTTCTCTTGCGTGGGTTGAGAGGTGAAGTGTGGGATTCGTGAAAGCGAGCCTTGGCAACGAAGGCGAGATGCTTGGACGTTGAGCTGCGGGAGTGGGGACCGAGTCGATGGAGCTGACGGGCCATTCCCGTGGCATACTCGAGGATGGCTTGATAGGACGCCACATGTACACTAGATAATTTTAGTAATAAACGTGTAGACGCAAATTGTTGAAGGATGAGACGAACAGTGAAAGCTGATTGACAGCTTGCGCCACAGTGCTTGCACCAACCCACTGCCCACCCGTCTCTGCGCCCCTTCCCCAGAGGCCAGAGGCCAGAGGCCCAAAGACAGACCCACTGGCCCGGCTGCCTCCACCTAAGCTCTGAGCCACAGTGTGACGCTATGACGTCCCTGTTTGTGCTTGGTGCACAGGCAGACAGGTGGTGCTCCTCCAGTAGCTTGTTTGGGCAGCGGCAACTGACCAAACGGGCAGACTGGCTGTTCGCCTCGCCTGCCAGAGCCCAAAAGCCAAGAGATTCTTACGCGTTTCAGTCGCCTGAGGTCCAAGGGTTGAGGAGCTTAAATACAATCCCAAGGTCAAAGCTTCGAGTCTCGGTGCCTCTCTCGCAACATCTGTCCTGACTGTTGTCCTGACTGTTGCTGTCCCGAAAGCCAGGCTTGTCTTTGTGTTCCACAGAGAGAGAGCACTTGAGCCGTCACCAAAAGATCCCAGTCTATTATTACCCCCCCCCCCCACTTCGTCATGGCTGAGAAGAACCCCTCGGGCGAGCAGAACTTCCCACCACCTCCTCCCGGCCCACCACCTGGGCACAATGGCCTCGCCATGAACCCGAGCGACCACCCCGCCCCAGACTCGAACTCGGAGCTCTACGACAACACCCCTCCCACCCATTCCGACGCCCAGTTCCAGGCCCAGCATCAGACCCAGCAGCAGCAGCAGACTGCCCATCAGGTCCCTCCTCCCGACAGTGATGGCGCCCCCAAGAAGGTAGGATGGGGCCAGCGTTTCAGTGCCTGGGGCGGCAAGGCCGCGACCCCATTCAACATGCTGGCAAATAAGCTCGGGTCAGAGAGTTTCCTCCCTGATACCATGGACAAGGAGTGCGAGAAGGCCGCAAGGATCCTGAGGAGCTTCTGCAGTAAGTCAAGTCAAACACGGCACACACACAGGATACTTGGGTAATTACTGACACCTCTGGCTGTAGAGGATGGGATCTATACCGACGCACAGGCGCCCGAGACCGTCGAGGCCCCAACCACCGACGCTGATGGGAAGCCCACCACTGCCGCCGCGAAGCCCAAGAAGAACCGAACCCTCCTGACCATCCCCTCCAAGGTCATCAACCGCGCCGTGGGCCTGGCCATCTTTACGACCGCTCGCGCCGGCTTCCACGTCTCGGGTGCCACCGGCTCGGGCGTCATCATTGCTCGCCTCCCCGATGGCAGCTGGTCACCTCCTTCGGGCATCCAGGTCCACAGCGTCGGTGCCGGTTTCATGGTCGGTCTCGACATATACGACTGTATTGTCGTCATCAACACAAGGGAGGCTCTGGAGGCTTTCACAAAGACGCGCATGTCGCTGGGCTCCGACCTTGCCGTCGTGGCTGGTCCTTGGGGCGCAGGCGGCAGCGTCGACTTCGCCGCACCTCAATCACAGAAGGGCAAGGCCAAGGCGGGCGATGCTCCTGGGTCCCCAGACCCGACGACTAAGGACGCCGAGGGCAAGCCAGCCACTCCTCCGCCCGCCGCAAGCGAGAAACACCCCGACGGCGCGGAACCTGTCCCGACGGTGAACGAGCCGACCGCAGACAAGACCACTGCCGAGGCGGCAGAACGCCCCCAGGCCGGCAAAGAGCGCAAGCCATCCGGCCTTAAGCAGGCCCTCAAGCCTACCTATTCCTACGTCAAATCGCGGGGGTTCTACGCAGGCGTCCAGGTGGACGGCACAATCGTCACTGAGCGCAAGGACGCCAACACCGCATTCTACGGTGAGCCGGTTGGCGTTCAGAGTATCCTGAAAGGCGAGGCGCCTCTGGTTCCCGGCAAGGAGAACTGGGTGAACATCGTCAAGCCCCTCTTCGATACCATCAAGGGAGCCGAGGGCTGGAGGGCTCAAGGCGGAACCCAGCAAGGCCAGCAGTGGGCGAACCAGCAAGGCCCATCCGACACGTACGGCCACGGCAACGCGCCCCAGGGCTACCCCACCGGCTTCGACCCCGTCTTCTCCGGCGCTGGCGAGAACCCACCAGCGAAGCCCCCCCGCCCCGGCGTATCCGGCGTCACGGAGGGCGTGCACGGCCTCGGCCTCGGCGGCTCCTCGCCAGCAGGGCCCCCGCCGCACGCGGACACCCAGACCCCAGCAGCGCGCTCAAAAGCCGCAGAGGCCGCCGCCGAGGCCGAGGCCGCCCGCGAGCAGGAGCGGCGGGAGAGGCAGGAGCTGGAGCAGGAGACCGCCCAGGCGGTCGCCGGCGGTGCTGCGAGGCCGCTGTCCATGGCGCCGCCTTACACCGAGTCGGCCGGGCCCGCCGAGGCGTCGCACGGGGAAGCGGGCGGGGAGCAACCGCCTCCCGCGTATACGGACGACGGCGTGGCAAGGCCTGGGGTCGGGGACACGAAGCACCCCGGAGGACCGCCGTCGTGATTGGGAAGTCCGCGTGAGATGGAGCCCAAGAGGCCGTCATGTCGATGCTGTACGTGCCGTTTAGACAGACACACAGACAAATAGAATAGGGTTGAGCGGGTAGGATGGATGGCGTTTTCAACAGCTGGGAACAAAGGGAGCACACGCGGGTCCAATTCCGCTCGTGCCTGGCACGATGATGATGATGATGATGATACCTGCTGGATTGGGGGTGCAATTCTGTGCAAGAAAACCAAAATATCCACTAAATAGTCTAACGAACTCTAATGCCATTGTTTTCCTCACTTCCGCTCTACAGCGGTACATACAAATAAACCATATCCCCCCGGCCGGCAACGGCAGCGTCACAGCAGTATCACATATCTACCCTTCCAAGATAATTCCCAGACACAAATGCATCTTTCCCATCAATGCAATCAGTGCGTGCACGTGCGTGATACAAAGGTCGGTCGGTCCTCAGGAATACCCTGTCGTGTGACTGTAAATTGCAGCCCCCTTGCCTACCTACCTACCTACCTACCTACCTACCTAGGTAGGTAGCATTGAGAGGCAGAAGAGGCTTGCAAGCAGGGAGCAAGGAGGCCAAGACATGAACAAGAGTCCAAGCCACCGGGTAAGAACATAATAAGCCATCCCTCATGGCCCGCATGACGGCAACCCCCCCCCCCCCCCCGCGCGCGGCCCTCGCGGGCTGCACGAAGGAAGGGAGTGAAGAAAGGGCGGTTTCTAGGTGTTCCGAAACGAAGAAAAAGAAAACACGAAAAACACGAAAAACAAACCTCACACACGAGACACGGCCAAACCTTCCGGCTCATTGCCCTGACAGTCCAGCCTGTAAAACCCCCCCTCCACGGGTCGCCACCACCCCCCTCGGTCTACGGACGGGGCTACTGTCTTGCTTGTACGACCGGGGTGGCAGGGCGGATGAGTGAGTTGCGCAGGTGACTTGTATTACTGATTGAAGGCTGCGCATATAACGTTAGACAACAAGGCATGAGAAGAGTGAGAGAGAAGTGTATTACGATTCTCGTTCCACGCCAGCCCGGCCCAACCCAGCCCAGCCCAGCCCAACCCAGCCCAGCCCAGCCCAGCCCGGCCCAGCACAAAGGCCCACTCCGCCCAGCCACAACAAGAGTCTCATCTCTGAGACACATACGGTACGCCCACGTGGCGTACGCGTGGAAAACCGCAGATGCTGGAGTACCAAGCCCTTGAGTTGAGGGCTGGTGGCACCGGAGTATTACTGTGGTAGCTGTTACCTTGGTGGAGGGCGATACGATGTGCAACTAAAAGGGGCGTCAAAAGAGTTCCCGTGTCGGTGAACCCTTGGGAAGTCGTGTGCCCAGACACGGGCACCACTTCAACTCACGATATGGAACAGGACGGTCCGAAGTTTGTTGGTCTTGGCTGGTATTTCTTTCTATAGATATTTACCCCGCCCTATGATTGTGAGGATGCTTCTTGCATCTCCCAAAAGATATTTACATCCAACAGAGCTTCTTTGCCAGTAAGCTCCCGGGGTTTCCAGAATCAGTGTGATCCAATTTGTACACAAGCCTAGCCATAATGGGCGTTCGCTGCACCAACCCACCCCAGAAAAGCAAGACCGGACCCAGAGCTCCATCTATCCCAGAACGATCGCCCCACGCCCCCGTTATCTCAAAAGTGACCAATGGTATATACAGTTCGACACCAAATGATGTCTTTGTGGTTGTTTTAGGTCGGTGGAAGAAGGTGTAAGAGATCTGCCAAACGCCTGGCGGCTGTATCCGAATTCGCCGCCGTATGCAATGCACATCCGTCTGTCCTCGTAAATGTGTTTGGTTGATAGCGTGACAAAATAGAATCGATGATTTGTGGTAGGAGAATCCCCCTTGGAGAATTACGCATTACCGGTTCGCCATGGTGCATGACTGGTGGATGGGCTGACGCGGCCACCCTGTCCCGTTTCAGGTAGACCGCGGCCGTGACAGCGAAAAGCGAGGCCTTTGAAAGCAGCCGAATCGTGGAATCGCTACTGGCTAAAAGTTGTCCACAACATGGCGAATGATCACACGGTGTTGGTGTTTCAGTAGCTTCTGGTTCCGGCTGTTTGGTAGATTTCGCGGCTTCTCTTGGTCGACCTTCTGAGCTGTCACGTAGTTGACGGGCGTTTGTAGCGGCGCGGGTAAATTGGGCCGACGGCTCGTCCGGTGTATCGCCAAGGACTCGTCCCAAGCTGGCGCGACCAAGGTTTCGCGCGCCATCGCACCGAAGGCGCACTACAGCGCCCTGACACGATCCGGCAGAGTTGAGCCAAAATGTTGTCATAATAAAAAGTCCGAGCACAACTCAAGAAACTCCTTGAATGGACGGTCCGGCCGAGCGTAATTGACGTAAGAGTAATAATGGGGAAGAAGAAGAAGGTCGACAACAGTTAGAAGTTTCATGGGAGCCAGACGAGCTCAATCACACCGTCAACCTGGCTCATTGGCCAGCCCTCAGCGTCGACCCATCGAGGGTCCTTTGCCTTCCGGACGTAGATTTGTGTGACGGTTCCGTCCTCGTTGACGTTCGCCGTCTTCAGATCCCAGGCAATCTTCTCGCCAGTCCGCAGCAGCGACGAGCGCTGGGGGCCGAAGGCGTGGTCCAGGTTCCAGCCGTGGTCCTCGGGGGCGGGGGTGAAGGTTCGCTCCATCTGGTCCCAGTTGTAGTTGGCACCTTCGGGGTATTGCGCGATGCTGTAACCAGTAGAGATGACAAAGTCATCCTCGGTCATGAACCGCTGCATGGTGCAGTCCTCGCCGCAGAGGTGGGCAATCTTGGTGTACTCGAATGGGTAAGCGAAGTGCCAGCCGCCACCACGGTAGTGGTGCAGTGACAGAGGCTTGATTCCGCTCTCGTAGAAGCCCGAGGGGTCCTCGTAGAGATCCAGCTGCCACAGGTCGTTCTCAAGGGTCAATCGAACATCACTGTTCTCGTAGATGCACTTCCGCAGGAGAATGTCTCCCTGGGCGCCCCAGCCAGAATCGGCCTCCTGCAGCTTCTGGGGTGTCTTGCATGTCTCGTAAAGCTCGTTGATCATCTCACCGACCGGCATCGAGATAAAGACACCGGCACCGCCGAAAGCCTGGGAGCCGTGACGCTGAACCTGGTTCACATCCTCGGAGAAGGTTCCAACGTAGAGAGGGCGGCTGGAGTCAATCGCAGACATGCGCTCGCTGAGTGCATGGGGAGAGGGGAAGAAGGTGTCGTCATCGCAGAGGACGAGCCACTTCTTGTTGGGTCGCTCACGGTGGTTGTAGAGGGTTGGGACCAAAGTCAGGTAGCGGACGGCCATCTCCATGGAGCTGTCAGAGTGGAAGACATCGGCGTCAATCCCAATCTTGTGAAGGCGGTCCCAGGCATCGTACAGCTCATCGTCACTGGCGTCGAGCAGTAGCAAGACCATCTTCCCGCCGTTGGAGTTGCCGTGGTTGTCCGTGAGCCAGTAGCTCCAATCGTTGATGGGGCTCGTCTCGGGCTCGGTGAAACGCTTGTAGGTGGTGGAAACGCCGAAGATGAAGTCAGTGAGGTTAGCGGTGTCAGGGACGGGCGACTTGGTGACGGGCAAGACAAGCGGCTCGGGGCACTGCTCGTTCAGGTTCTTCTTGCCCAAGTCGACCGTCTTGGCGGTGTTGGGGAGGAATCGCTGGTCAAGCTTGGTCATGGTCTTCCTCTCGACGTCTTGACGCGAGACCTTGACGTATCGCTTGAAGTACTCGAACTGCTCGCCCAGCTCGTACCTGTCCTGGAGCTCCTTCAGGTGCTTGGTGTCGTAGTTGCAGTTCATCAGGGCGGAGCTGTTGGATGGGACGTCCTGCCAGCGGTTGTCGTCGACGCCATATGCGTTGGCGGACGAGTCGAGGGGGTGCTGTGTGGTCATGGTCTGCTTGGCGGTGTTGGCAGCCTTCATAACGGCGGAGCGGACATCGTAGGTGTTCTGCTTCATCGTCATGACAAAGAGCAGGAGCACCACGACGGCCAGCAGGATGGCCCTGGAGAAGGGACTCCGCATGTTGAAGAGGCGTTGTGGGGGAGGCATCATGGCACCCATGATTTTGAGATCCTTTGGTGAGAGGGAGATTGGTGAGTTCATCCGGTCGACCTTTTGTGTGTTCCCTTGCTCTGTTTGAGTGTGGTGACGGGAAATCGGGAATTGGACCAACCCTGGGTTTCCTGTCCTGTTGTGGTTCTTTCTCTGGCCAGGTCAAGCTGTGGCGAAAGCAGGTCGAGGCGGGAGAGAAGTAGGAGGGAGCAGTGTGTCTAAAGACGAGTGTGTTCTAGACGTCGACAAACATGGATCGGGTCGCAGGTGGCTCGATCTGGGTTGAAAGGGGGTAGATGTCTCTTGAAGTGGTGCCGGGCGGAATTGTGGTTGGTCTCGATGTGGGTTAAGCTAACGAGGGACGGGCGGGCCAAAGCCAGACACAGCCGTGGGGCAAGTGGTCAGGTTTGAGGATCCGCTGATACACGAAACGGGCTGGTCCGAAGGAGGAGGCCCAGATGGTGCGTCGTTGTGCGAGACGGAAACAACGATGGTGAGGGCGAGGACGCAAGCAGGACGCGTCCGAACAATGGGAAGGGGGGGGAGAAGATGAAGAGAAGCCTATCGCCACGAAAACGAGGTTCGGTGACGGGTAAGGGAGCAATAAAGAAAAGGAATAATCGGACAGGTGGGTGGTCGTTGCGTGGAGGGTCAAGAAGAAGTGGGCAGTCTGTGTGGGATGGAAAGGGGGGATATGGGGGTAGAAAAAGAAGGAACAACTGGGGCTAGTCAAAAAAAGAGCCAGGCCGCGCTGGATAGGTGAGGGTCGGTGTTAAGCGATGGGGACACCAGGCCTTGGTGACCAGGGTGGTCTTGGACTTGGACTGGGACTGGGATTGGGACCTGGACTGGGACAAGGAAGGCAGTGTGGGTACCCACGCAACATACCGTCATGGTACGTACCGTGTGTATAGGTGCTGTTCTAATTCTATCTACACAGTACCGTCTGTCTGTCTGTCTGTCCTCCGTTCCTGGCGGCCTGGGTAGGGCGAGTGAGTGAATACTGTCTGTCTGTCTGTCTGCCCCGGTGGAATTCAGTCAGTCGGTGCCCCAACCACCGTCCACTCCTGTATCTACAGTCCAGTCTTGCAGGTCCCGATTGAGTTCGAAGCATCCATCACGTCAATCAGTTCAACCGAACGCCAATGGATTAATAGACCCAGTCTCACAATACAATTAGCAACAATTAGCAACAACACCCTGGCGTCGCATACATATATATGGTAACAAATACAGTACAGCGCCGTGCGGTATATAGCGCGATGGGATTGTGCTGCGGCGGACGGGATGGGCCACCTGGCCACGGGGGTTGCAATCGCGGTGCAGCAGCAAATGGAAGGGGAGCCTCCACTCGATATGGGGAATCTCTTAAATTGCTGTAATCAACTCCCGGCCCAGGGACCTAGAGAGCAGTGCAAATCAGGAAGGCCAGGGCCGGGCAGGGCTGCTGACTGGTCGGGGCAGGGGGGCAGGGGGGCCAGGGGGGAGGCTTGCGATGGCGACAGCACCTGGGCACATGGGACGCGAGGTAAAATTGGGTGGTTGCAGCCAGGAAAAGGGGAGACCGACAGGCCCCGACAGGCCCCGACAGACCATCAGAAGCCAGCAAGCCTGCTGCTACCGTGCTAGCCTGCTAGCGGTTGATCCGCAAGATGAGTGGCTGAAGGAGCATGGTACGTACCTCCCGCACTATCTACGCTACACACGCAGATACGGTAGCGCCAAGGTACGTATCCTGTTGCCGCGGTGTACCTGCGTCAGGGGCTGGCTGTGCTCTTTCCTTGCCGCTCGGGCTCTGGGGGCTTTGTGCAACGACCCCCGTCCATCGCCGTTTGCAGCCAACCAGCCGCCTGTGTGTTTTGGTGGGTGGGTGGGTGGGTGGTGAGCAATTCGCGGGAAGGAGCCACCAAGACTGACGACGATAGATAGAAGGGTGGGTGGATGGGGGATATCGAACACTGGTTCTAGATCTGGCATGGTTCCATTGGCAGCCGGCAGTTGCTCCCAACTCCCGACCAAGCCTCAGCAGTCAAGGCCTCACGAGGTCGCGATAGTGCACATGTGTACATGCAGTCAGTTCAGATATCCGTTCCTAGGCAATTTTATTACTGTGTGTGGAAAGCTGTCTCGCAGCACACACAACATACACACACATTCTATAGACAGGTACCTCCAGATACTGTGGTAGTACCTACCTGGGTGGGCAGCAGCGGGAGGCAGCAGGAGGCAGGAGGCAGGAGTGCCCATGCCTGCGGTACAAGGGATTCAGTGGGGACTGAGGTCATCGATCAGCGAGCATTGACTTGACAACCCCCCATCCCCCCGACAATGTTTCTCCCGCACGAGGACAAACTGGAGACAAGCTGTGGCCGACGATCTTGTGACTGCTCACGGCGGCAGGACGACAGGGCAGCAGCCCACAACCTGCCCACACCGCATGTGCTCTTGGGAGCTGGGGGAGGAGGTCTGAATCGGCCCTGCTCTTGCCTGCACGCCTGGGTGGAATCTCCAGTCCTGTCTGTCAGTCAGTCGCCAACTTCAAATCACCCGACCAGAGAAGGGCTGGAAGGGTACGGAGCCCAAGTACAAGCACACAGTAGGAGTACGGAGTACTGCAATAATAAAAAAAGGCGGCTCCGGACTGACTGACTGACTCAGCACCGATCCAAAGGCTATTCTTGTCGACCCGCCCGCCTCCAGAGACAGGCAGACAAGCTTTCTTCCCATGAACAGCGATGGCTGTGTTTGTGCAGCTGGCAGCATGGTCGACGCCATCGTCACAAGCGGCACGCCCGCTTGGTTGCCATGTTCAGCCGCGCGCCGCCGGAATTCGTGTCGTGTCTAGCTAAGCACGCCTCGTTGCCACACCCGAGGTCCTCACACAACAAGATATCTTGCAACGTCAGCTCCATCCGACAACACGAGTCGTCCTTGGTCGCCGTCGATTCATTCAGGCGCCCGCCTCGTGGTGTGTCTGACCATAGCACCAACAGCCCTGTGCAGGATCACAACTGATCTGCAATCTCAGTCACCCTGTCATCTCAACAACAACCCGAAATGCGTGCATGCCATGTTGTGCCTTCTCCAGTCTCATGTCCGAGAGGACAGGCCTCGCTCCGACTCTCGCCCACACTCTAGCCTCTTCAGGCAGTGGTTGTTGGCCCACTGTCTGCACTGGCCTGACTGGCAGCCATGCAGCGTCGGATCGTGATACGGCCTGTCCTCCTGTCCTTCCCCAACTGCCCCAACTGCCCCAAAGTCAAAGCTGTTTCGCCACCCCGATTCGCTCCCTGGCCTAGGCGGTGCAGGTGCTCCCTCTCAGCCTCTCAGGCCTCTGGATGGCAAAAAATGCCTGGCTGCGTACGCAACCCGCCTCCACTGCCACCGCAGCACACCTGCATACACGCAACTCTATTTGTAAGAATAAGCTTATAAGTCTCTCCACTCCAGACCTAGTGAAGATTTTTGTTTCCTATAGGTTATGAGCCCGGGTAGCTCAATCGGATATTTCGCGACCCGAAGTATAATTATGGAGGTCTTTTACCCGATGCGGGGTTCATAGGGTTACCCGTGCGGGGTTTTCTACTCCAATAACCAGAAAGGGCGCGAGTTCGATTCCCCTGACAACTAATTTATAGGAGACATTATGTAGCTATATCTGGATTGCGGGGGGCTGTAAGAATAAGCTTATAAGTCTCTCCACTCCAGACCTAGTGAAGATTTTTGTTTCCTATACTATTGCCATTCGAGAGGCTGGAAACACACTGGGACGAAGCCAAAGCATGCACGATCGCCCGTGAAAGAAAAAATACGGGTGGCTAGCACAAGCTGCAAAATAGAAACACAGCACGGCTACCACGGCTGCCTCTCCAGCTCTCCAGCTCTGCGATCGTATGGTTCCGTCATCGACCACCCATTCTCCTCTACCGAGTACCCACCACCCACACAACCATGCTGCTTTCCCAGCCAGCCCGAACCCACAGGACCTGCAGCCAACAACGGAGACAAAACAAAGTCAGCACGAACAACAACCTGGCAGAGGCCGGCAGATCAAGCCAGGCCAGGCAGCCAGGCCAAACCCAGACCCAACAACTGGACACTTCGTCATCGCAGCCGCGGGATCCTACCATACTGTGGTAGAAACCAGTAACCGGCACACTCGACTTCTCTAACAGAGGTTCCACAGTGACGTGATATGGCCCTGCCATGGTCATAGAGGCCCTGAGGGCCCCAGGCAGCCCAGGGCACTACTGTGGTCCGGAGTGAAGGCCCCTCAGTGGCCCATTCAGCCACGGAGTACCGTGTGGTCCTGGCGCGCCAGGCATAAAGACCTTGGTGGTTGCAGCAATTCGCCGGTAGAATGGCCGCTGGTCCAGGGATCAGCGAATCCGAGACACCACTCAAGTTGCGGCTGTCAATTTGGCAAAACTCGAATTGCACTCGGCACTTTTTGAAACTTGACAGCGGCGGCATACCCTGCCAACCGGTGGCGCATGGGCGTGCCAATGGCTGCCATGGCATGGTTCGCTTCACGTTGATCAACCCTGATGCCCTCGACCGCCCGCCCGCCCTGCCGACCTGCCGGCTTCGGCTGAGAGCCAACAGGCGACTCGCCATCACCTCCCTCCTGAAGATCGGTAGATCCCCTAGGCCTTGATAGGAAGCGCGGATAAGCTTACGGAAACGCTGCGAGAAAAGAGGCTCCACGATGCAGCATACTTGCCAGTCTGACTGGCCGGCCGAGATGGATCGTTGTTTCTTCCGCCAAATGCGGCCGGGCTGTCGGGGCGGGAACCATCCTCCCAGCCCTCCTCGGGCTTGCATGTTGTGACTGAGTGGCAGCGACGCAGATGCGCACATGCCCGGAGATGACGCTTCGTCCACATCGACGCCTACGCGTACAAAGGCGCCGTCCTTCCTTGTCCTCGCCTTTGGCACGGGCGCCACATGCGCTTGACCATGAGGAATTGCCAGCACACAAGCACTCTGCCAGAGACGCGAAAGCCACCAAGCAAGTTCGGGCGCCGTTGCTTCAGGTGGCTAGCGGGCCACGGCCGCTGCACGACGTCGTGCTGATGGGCACTAGCCGGATAACTCACTTATTATTAGGTGAAGCTCGTCAAACAATGCGGCTATACTTTTCACCCTGCTACCGTGCAACAAGGCTAGCTGGTTCTATAATTGTTGCGTCTGATCATTGATTAACTGATGACGCGTTTCTTTTGATTCATTCTGGTCCGTCAGTGCCATTGAGAGACTGACAGACAGACAAAGCCATCGCCCTATCTCACCTCGAAGACCGAGGCTGCGCCATATGCTTTCTCGCTGTATCAAGAGACGATGGCCTGACTATCATTACCAGACGCGGATGGCCCTCATCTCCGCCAGCGCAAACACTGTGTCTGATTGTCTCGGCTGGCGGCAAGCAGGACAATAAGCATTATCTATCGCAAAGCCCATGTGCTACGGTGCTCCCCTCCGCCATAGTATATGGTAAATTGCGCTCTTGACTCGGGGCTCCATCTACAGGCTGTCTTGGATGCACACATGTCGGTACTGCGGATTCCGTCGAGTCGCGCAGTGCAAGCCCAGTCCGGTAGTGGTTTCTGGCGATTAAGTGATTCCAGCCGAGCCGGTTCGCACCACCGCCCGCCCCAGCCCAGCGCCCTTGCCATCACGGCGACCAGGTCCATGATAGCGGCAAGGGCACACCAGCTAGCCACTAGAATAGCGCCAGGCGCGACTTGGCACTTG